TTCGTTTAGTAAAAAGTTTCCGTCTTATTGACGAAGAGTCAGTAAAAAACTGGCTCGGTACACTTCCTATACCAAGTCTCCATAATCAAACAGAGAAAAAACTGAACCAAAGTTCCAATCGAGTTATTCGTCATTTTTTTTTTAAAGCTGAACCTCTTCAAGCTTTATCTTCCAATGTCGTTCATTTACGAGCGAAGAGGTATTTTAATTTCTATCAAGTGTGATTTCAAATCGCAGATATTGCATAAGCATATTGCGAAATCTTCATATGTTATGGCTCCATTTTGCCAACTACAGCATTTTACGGTCGTTTATTCACCTGTGATTTCATTTACCTATAGTGATTGGATAGGACACCAATAAAGTCTCCGTTCGACTGTACGATGCGCCACAGTTACATAGTGCATTGACAAAATGAACTTTCGTTCTGCCTTCCTCACCAGGTGCACTAAGCAGTTATGCGACCAATTTCTAGCCGGTCGTTTGAAGTAGAGACTGTGGTGCTCTCAATTCTGTAGTAACTGAGGTATAACAAGTTCGGGTACGGTTTATCTGATCTCTTGTAAAGCGTATAACGAATACATTAATAAAACGGGTAGACCACTCCACGTCCGTATAAAAGAACATCTAGTCCGTAAACTTAAAGTTAAACCAAATACTCCACTAGGCGCGCATAGGACACAGAGATGTAAGGAGGAAGATTTTGAAGTAGAAGTTAACGTCCTTACATTGTCGTCGAAAACTTCAGCGCGCAAAACTCTCGAAGCATTCTGCACAATTCCAGGAAGCCAAAAATGAACCGCAACAAGGAATGGGTCGTTGTCTTGTCATGCATGATCTCGCCTAATATCTAAGACATATCGTAACGTGATTTTTTAACGTCAGTTTTTTTATTGAATAAAGAGTAAAATAGCAACACAGGTTTGCTAAGTATACAGTGAGCTATTGCGGAGGTTACAATTTTGAGAGAACTATTCAAAAAAAAACAGTGCTTAGTTGTCTTCAGTCTATAGATTTACTGTGACTATGAGACGAAGTAACAATTATACATTCCATAAATCGTCGAGGTTGTGACCTCGTTTCCTGTTTTGCAATCGATATATTTCTGCTCTAAAAATAATGACAATATTTCTGTTCTGGTTGTAATATAGTTCAGATTCCTGAAGCACACATTAAAATGAGAAACACCATGGAGTAGCAGTGTTAGCATTGGAGTTGAACTTGTTCCAATCTCTTCGCAACTTCAATAACGCGCTAATACGCTTTCTATACCACGCTTGAACTCTAGTGCTAAGTCTCCCATTATATCCATTGTCAAGTTACTCAGTTATGCATAGCCCGAAACATCAGCAGATATTCACGCTGTCAAGGCTTGAGGAAGAAATCCCTTTCGCAGTAATAGCGTTTATGATCACTTAAAAACCGGTATCGCTAATATCTTTGTCTTCTTAATATTCTTCAAGGCCTTACAAGTTATTACAATGCTCGTTTCATTCTAACTAAATATACTCTTAGCCGAATACCAATTTTTCGACATAATCTGCCAGCGACCACGTCACTTCTGTAATTACATTTGTATGACGTCACAAGAATGATTTCATTACCATTGGTGTCGTCAAGACCGTAGCTTCTCTGTCTTTTTGCATGCACCTACAATTCAATTCCGAGCATTGGAGGTGGCGATCATGGTGAATTCTCTCCCAACTTCTGCAGCTTTACCAACGCTACTCCTGCTGTTTTCTCTATATCTTCTATTATTGCACTTGCACAACACGTCCAAAGTTAGGACATAAGTTGGGAGTTGCCTCTGACTTTTTCGACTTCATGTTAGCGTAGTAACTCCAATGCTTCTAGAAACGTACCGTGAATTTTAAATCCTCGTTTAACAACGCTATCGTGAAGGTATTGGATAAAAAAAGGATAAAGCTCTCGGCGCTGATCAATTCCTGAGGGACGCGTCATGCATATGACTTCATTACGTATCGTTGGTGATTGAATGCATATCTGGCCTTTACAATGACTCGCGGTAACCTACCGATGTATCGAGCCAGTGCTGCTATCCTCCCAGACAAGTCTGGTACCACCCGGAGAGATGGAAGGCTTGGTGGACCACGGGCGAGGGGATCGACTCCACGTGTGTGTCGCAGTAGCGAGTCCACACTGCGCCACACGCACCCTACGTATGAGGGCACTGGATAGCTTTGCTATATTCGTCATGGACGTTGCCGATAGGATTGATTTCTCAATAGTCGACTAAAGATCAGAATTGATGAACGAATCCGAATTGGCATTAGTATAAGGGCATGATTTCTTCAATTTTGATGTTTTGTTTGCTCAAATATGTGATTGCGCAACCCATTTTCCTACACTCACGTAAAACTAATCTTGGTGTTGAAGTCTCCAATGATGGTCACATAGATCTTTCCATAAAATCTGCTATATAAAACTTCTCTAAGTGCACATAGGCTGCTGCTACCTCGTATTCATCACATGTTATAGTTAGGGCACAGACAACGAGTAATGTCAAATAAGCCACTGGTGCATTTCCTTCAACTTCAAATTCCAACCCAGGTCATCATTTATCCAATGGAATCGATGTTCGTAGTTAAGTTCGTGACAATCTGAACACTAACGAAACTGATTCCTCCCTACTCTCTGAAAAGGATCTCTTCTACGTCATGGACGTCGTTTAAGGGCCAGTGTTTTCTCGTGTCCACTGGTTCAATGACGTCGTAACATCATTCTCTGCAATCTTAGTCGCCTATAGGCTTTTGTCTGGTACAGAATACAATCCGCATGCAAACAAGAACACCCACACAACCACGTGTGAATAATTATACGTGAATAGAAAAGAAATATGTTTACCTTGTACACCTTGAACAGAAGTCCTACACCTTGAATCCCACCTGCGCTTCAGGACAAGCACAATGTTCCTTGGTTAGTGTAAAAAAGTCCTATAAAGCATGAACTGAGCAGCTCGACGATTAACCTGTTAACGAATCGTTCCACTGATCGACATCCGCAGAGTTCACCTTGGAATGTAATGCTGTAAGAGTCTGCTAAAGCCAAGCCAATCACAATACTATCGGCTCTTGTAGTTTGTTTCGCAGCGTGTTGAAAACGGAAAAAGAATCCATTTACAAATGTTAAAGAAATCAGAACAGAATACTCGACAGTCTCTATGGTATGTCAAAAAACGTTAAGTTGTTACGAATGGAAGGTTATTATAGAGGTTATGGTACTGCTTATAAATGCTACCTTTTAGTTCCCAGATATGGCCAGCAAACAAGGTTGAAAAGATGTTATGTCATCTGCATGAAATAGCTAGTGCAAAAAATGGTAATAGAGTACAACGCATTCAATATAAGCCCGCTGGTCGAACTTCATTCGAAAAATTGTGGGGCTGCAGCCTTGCAAAAATGAATGTGGCACTCCGTCAGTACATTCCATATTGACAGGCATAACTATGAGATAAAGGATTTGGTGTGACGCACAGAAAGTGCAGAGATTCATGAGTTAAGCGCTTAACTCTACTGATGCTTGATTCAAATGGTCACAGTGTGTCTAAACTTTCAAGTAATCAAGCCCTTAAGCGAACAATCAAGAGAATGTAGACGTTCTTTTAGCTTTAATAAAAGAATACCTAGTTGTTTTGACCTTTTACTTACTACTTATTTTTTTTCGTGGGCAGTGTACTGTTATTTACCACCTCATCATAGAACTAAGTGCCCCAAATTTCCAAAATTCCGTGCGTAGGTACACTATACATGCTTCAAGCGACAAAAAGAAAATGAGTCGCATACGAATCATGAGAGCTTACCTCAAAACACAAGAGTAACAGACAAATCATGTCACTATCAATATTCTGAAACACCTAAACCTTCCGATATAATACGAGGTGCTTAGAAATGCATGCTCATAACTAGGCTAAGACTCTGTAAACTACTCAACTGTAGAGATTCAAACGGATACGAATGAGCCTCGTTAACCCTTACTACGACAAATAAGTATTGTCCCTGTTTTAAGCTAAAACATTAACCCGACCGTGTACACAATGTACGTAGGTGGCGGAACGAGTAGACCATATGTACACCTTTTCTTATGTGACCCATCTTTCAATTGTGTGGACCCCGGAATTTCTCGCATTCGTTCGCATCCATTATCCACAAAAGACTTCCAACTCCTTATGTGTGCCTTCGGCTGCTGCATAACGATTTGGCTTCCATCTTGAATGTCGTTGAGTGCTGGTCAAATCGATTTTCCTTGTAGACAGGTCCACTACCAATTTCTCGACCCCGGAGCGACAAGAAGTTTGGTGAGCCCGGAGCGGAATCGAGCCTTAAGAGGGTGACCAGAAAAGGCTTTCTTTGAAGTAGTAATTAACATAAAGCACCTTCTTGGACAATTTCATTGATCACCACTGGCCGACAGCTAACTATTTTTGCTTTTTATCGCTATGATGAATTATGGATATTGCATGCAATGTGTGGGTACAAAAAACATTGGAATGGACTCAGTATAATCCCCAAAATCCCTCGACTACTGATAGCAATGTTTTGATAACGAAGTATACTAACGCGCAGTAAATTGAGCGGAACCTAGCCTTCAACAGAACCATGCGACACATGGAACGAAAGTTCCTACAATCTCGTTTATGATGGGACATATTTTTCAACAGAGGAGAACATTCACTTGAAAAAAAACCTCAACAGTTCTGGACACTAACTTCCTGATGCATTCAGTGCCAAAACAGACGGTCCACTGTTCCACCTCACAAGTGGCAATCGGAACAAAAACATGGAAAGTAAAATTCAAAGCAAAAAGCACAAAAAAATTGACATTTAAAAAAGAGATCATCAATGATGCAGGACATCAACTAAAAAACATTTGAAAAACGGATCTACGCATACCACTTACAGAAACAATGTCTGGTACAGCATACCGCATCCATCAAAGATTGGTAAACAGAATGTAGAACAGTCAATAAACTGTAGCATTTCTCATGGACATCGGTTCTCAACAATAGTGCGACCTGTTTCCTCATACTCCGATTTAGCTATCCACATTTGTTGAAACGAGCCCTAGAACAGCATGTTAAGGAATTCACTAAGCACAACGCTGTAAATTATACTACACTAAATAGAAAGACGGTGTTGTTGTTGCTGAAGTGACACTAACCATTAATAATTTCCGTTTTCAATCAATAAAGCGAATTTTATTGAAGGAAAAACACTGCAACACGCGCACCCTTGCCAACAGATACCTCATCGCCGAAAAATTCAAGATATTACGTTTCCAAAAAATCTTTTCAAAAGTTCCCCAAATCCTCTGCCCACATTTTCATCTCAAGCATCTACATTGAATCAAAGTTAACGTAGATTGGAATACAATGTACAAAAGAAGTTGCTCTATAGAACAGTAAATAACATTAATTCAAGGTATGGAATGTTATTTGAAAGCGAGCACTAATGTTGGAAGCGACAAGGCAGAACTATTTTCTTGACAACACAAGATGTGAATTTGGAGTTCTCAAGTAGAGACCAAACCTATAATGTTGCTGTTGGGAACTCTAAGACCCCTAAAACAATGTCTGAATTGAAATACCACTATGAGGCTGAGATGTTTGCAGAACTTGGACCCCAGGCCTGACTTGAACCTTGTGGTTACCCTTTCTGGGGACTCGCGTGTCCCCACTGCACCACTGAGGCCCTCGCTTTGCCACGTCTCAGGCAGTTTTTTCCCTTAACGGTGCCAACAGCAATCAGTCGTGAACGGGAACGATCAGGGATTCGAACCCGGCCTATGGTCCCAGTTTTGCAAATATCTCAGCACCAATGTGGTTGCATTTCACATAATACCCAGCCGTTAAAAAATCATAGGCGGTAGATAAAATATTATACGACGTCTGAAATTCTTGATATCGCGAATCCATGTACTACGATAGAAAGAAAATGGACGAAGTCACATTGATACACTTGGCTCCAGAAATCGGAATGATAAGCCAGCCATCTCAAAGCATAAGCAGCTATCAACATAATTCCAATCTTAAAAAGCTCTAGAGAGAAGCGTTAGAAAAAAAACTTGAGAGTAGTTGTGGATTATCAGCGCCGGCCAAAAAAAAAAAATGATTGAAAAGAGTGTGAGAGAAGTATCCGTAACGCTTAAACAAACTTGCTCAAATGCAGAACCAAGTTCAACGCCCTACAGAGAACAAGCCGAGCAGTGGCCACCTCTAAAGAGTAGTTGAGGTTACAGTGACATTGTTTTATTCCTCAAAACCAGTGTTAATGACGCTCATGAATATTATTTAAAGCCCAAAAGTTGAATAAACAGAGCACTAAGCTCGAGGCCAAGACTGTGCAACATACACATGAGTACTGTGTAACCGACGATATGGATATGCTTGTTTAGAGTAAACACATACCAATGATCCCAATATTGAGCCTCCTATCCAAGCCCCAAATCGTCTCTCCACAGGTGTTGGAGCGGCGGAAACACGAAGTTTGATTGTCTAAAAAAAGACTCCTCTTTACAACAGTGATGATAACAAATTTTTAAAACTGCATGGCACAAGTAGAAATGGTTTAGACAAAAACAGTAAGCGATGGACACGAAAGTATACAAAAGTACATGAAGAGTCAACGAAGTATGGGAACAACAATTTTCGTACCGGTGGGCATTTATGAGCCAAATCATGATTTAGCCTTTCAGTGAATCCCAGAATAAGCGAATTCCCACCAGTGACCATAAGACCACTATACAGTGTCTAAAATGTGTATTGGAACAGATCTTGCAAGCGGACGACGAATAAAACAAAACGAGACAAAATTCTCACCGGGCGAATGTCAATGTCACACATCCCTGCCGCTGTGGTGGCTATTTGCGTCACATTTAGTAAAGCTGATTGTGATGCTGATACATTACGAAGATATTTTAAATCAAACAAGCTTTCCGGTATTTTTATTCGCTCGGCGAGAAATTCCTGTGAAAAAGGTGATTCTCTGTTAAACGTAGCAACGGAGACAAGAACATTAAATAGTTAACAAATTTAAATAGGACACTACCTTAGTAAATCCATTTGGAAAAGAATACGGTGCAGATGGTAATTTCTCTGCATACTCTGCATCGAGAGGAGTATCACATAGTTGCAAAATTGAAAGAGCCATGTCTTCGAGGATCTACATAGGAAACGGTTACGTATATTGTCTGTACACTAAAAAACATCATATTCCTTATTCTATTTCAAACCAATGTAAGGAGAACACATGAAGCCCAGTGGTTAGAGGTGCCTTGCAATGCATATGGATTCGATACCACACCACAGGCTCATGAAGCCGTTTATCCTTCTAGTGGCCGCAAATTTATACCAAACCGGTCTGGGAGGATAGTGCATCAACTTGACATTGGTAGGCTGCTGCGAGTCATTGTAAAGGCCAGATATGCATTCAGTCACCTCTAACGATACTTGAGGAAGTCGAATGCATAGTGTGAGAATTGATCAACACCGAAAGCGTTATCCTTTATTTTATCCGTTTGCCAATGTGAGACAACTTACCTGCTTCTTCATGAATTTATCGTAGCTCTCCGTAACCTCAGGTAGACCTTTCCGCTGCGTCCAACGCGGTGCTTCATTTTCATTAACTTCCTCCTGAAAGATATGGTAAATACAAAGGACAAAAGGCATAGGAAGGTCATAGCATTCAACCTTTCCTCCTATCTTATAGATAGGTACTAAGTCTATATTTTGCTCATCCAACATGTGTTGTAGTTGCTCACATATGATATCACCACCTATGGGTGAGCGTACAACGGCTAAATTATTCATTTATTAAGTATCCTCGAAAAATAAGCGCCTTAAAGACGAAACGATGGAAAAAAACAATATTTCACTTGTACCATGTGTAACAGCATATCCATCGTAGACAGGAACAGCTGACGTCTGCATTGCTCCACTATCCACAACAAGACCACTCGTTCGACCGTTTGCAAAACTACAGTAACAGTCTTGTCACTGTTTCAGAAACTTTATGATAAGAAAAAAAGCAATACAACCACAATGATGCTAAGATATTTGCAAAACGCCAGATCCCAGGTGTCTGCGATGGGGAACGGACGCGCTATTACCCTTTCCAGCGGCTAACGCGTTCACCACCACACCACGCGGGTCCTTCGTTTCGTCTGTCTTTCAATCAAGGAAGCAACGTTCTAGAATTCAGCCAAATGGCAAAACAAAAATAGTAAAGAGAGAGATATGGAACAACCGGACCATGTGTCTCAAGTTGTCGAATAGTCTCGTAAAAAGGAAACTTACGCTGTTAGCACAGCATTTTTGCACAGGAAGAATGCAGGTATGTTATATTTCTCGAACATCACCTCCGTCAGACGTTCCCGTTTCGACTTGTCGTTCCACTGAAGTGATGTTTTAGTAAGTTAACTTTAAAACGGTAAGTGATTAGTAATTTCTCTATGAGAACAACTTCCGACTTACAGCGCTTTCGGTAAACAAGGCTGGATGATACTGAGCTTCACTGTGAAGTATCTTACTGTACGAATAGTCCAACAAATTCTCGAACATGTCCCAGTCTTCGACTACAAAACATACTAGTCTAACAACAAAAGGCAATTCCATCTTAGAGGTGTACTCACTCATGCCATCCTTCATAAAACTATGTATTGTTGTGTTGGGTCTTGGAACAACGATACTTGTTGTACCGATAAAGACATTCCGTTTCTTCTTTGCAGTTTCAGATTCTGCTACCTCCTTCATCTCAACGTCGTCTCCATCTGGCTCAATCTCTTGAACAGCCACAAAAGACGGTATATCGCCCTGACACATAAACCTTGGAGAACTTTTATAAGAATGTGAAACCAGAAAACTGTCTAAAGCATCGAGAAGAAAAACAGAGACAAAGAGTGGCTAAGAAACCTTTGGATATTCCTCCCCAGCAAAGCCGACACGTAAGCTATGTGAGCCTGCATCGAACACTACGCCACTTACTTCGTCTAAAACGTACTTCTAGTATTCACTATGCAACCAGAAAACCACTTTGAACAAAAGGATTGAGAAAAAAAGAATCAGACAGCATAGTGAATAGAAACATGGTACTCTCACCTCCACCGTAGATACCGCCACTCATTTCTTTCCCGTCAAGTGAGCTAAATTAAACAACTTTCGAAATAATCCATTCACGAAGGCATCAAATTGAGAAATGCACGTTACACAGACAGAACAACCTGCTCACAACGTTAAGTAGCCAGACGGAAATAGACGGAATGAGTCCGTGCTCAAGCGTACGGCTTGCACGTTATGTAGTTGGTGAAATTACAGAAATGACGTGAAGGAAATTACTCGCACATCGACGTTTTATGCAATTATTTTCTGAACTGGTGATCCGAGGGATCTTAAAGGATAAGGTTAAAGCTGTTGGCGTTGATCAATTCCTGAGCAATGGGCCATGCATTCGACTTCATTAAGCATCGTTTAGAGGTGATCGAATGCATATCTGGCCTTTACAATGGTTCTGAAGAAGGTGAAACCGCCGAAAGGTCAGCCGATATTGTACTGAGTAAAACTTGCAGTTAACAGCCTCGTTTCTGTTTTTTTAAACTCTTTCACGTCGAAGCTAGTTCTCGATAACTGATGGTAGTTTTTGTAACTAAATTTAATGTATGTAGGACAAAATTCTCCCGGTGCAACCACTTCTCGTGTATTCTGAATAACTCCGGTCACTGCTTGTTGTTTCCTATTTGAAAAACACGGAGAATGACTCTGCCAAAGGTATACTTATGGAATTTCTAAGGTTGTCTGTTGTGCCGCAGTTCCTGTTGATAAGGTCCGTTGTGTTCCTAATCTTGTACAACCTGTCTTGGCAGTGGAACGTTGCGTTGATGTCAAAGTAGAATTTTCCAAAAGATTTTCAGAGAAGAGAACAATAAAGAGAAAAGACCGTACAACGGGTTCCACTGCTCTCCAATCCACTTTCTTCCAGCTCTTCGACAACAACGTGAAGGGTTTCTCGGTATCTTCCTCATCCTCAACTTCTCCATTGTTACCCTCAATGAGAAGTCGACTGACTTCGAAATTGAAGACGTTGTCAGCTGAAATAAAGTTAGAAATGGGTGAGGAAGAATGTGAAGAAAGAAAAGAAGAAACCTATCGAAGAGGTGTGGAATGACGGTCGTCTCACAAGAAAGCGGGCACTTTCTACACGGTTTAGATGGATCTTCTAGAAACTGGTAGAAAGTGGTAGAAAAATGACTTTGGTTTGCGTGCTAAAAACTGAACGGAACCGCGCCTAATTATTGAGGCTATCATGTTCTGAAACCACTGGTCGATGTTCGTCTCTAATTTATATGTATGGAATAAGAACTATCGCAGTCCAGAGACCCTCACCATGAGGTTATAGGTTTTCTTATTCTATCGCAAAAGGCTGAATTTTTCTTATAAGCTCGACTTCTAAGTGAATCCTAAATTAAAGTTACAATCTAAAAAAGTTCTAATCACAATTTTAACTTATTATTTACTGCCTACTCTTTTTAACGGCAGGATATACATTGCGAAATATAACTTCAATGATGCTGAGATATTTGCAAAACTCCGGGCCGTAGGTGTATGCGGTGGGGAACGAACGCGCTATTGTCCTTTCCGGGGAGTAGCGCGTTCACCACCACACCACGCGGGTCCTTCGTTTCGCCTGTCTCTCAGCTAGTTCTATCGATCTTTTGCCATCAGCAATCACCCGTCAGCAGGGTGGTGGTGAACGCGCTACTCCCCGGAAAGGACAATAGCGCGTTCGTTCTCCATCGCATACATCTGCGGTCCGGAGTTTTGCAAATATCTCAGCATCATTGAAGTTATAAAAAAGTTCTATTTTCCACAAGGAAAGAGTAAAGTCTCTTCCGCGATTGCATCAACTGTCAACTTCGTTGGTCCTTGATTGACTACTGTTAGGACGGGTCGTGCCTTTCGTATAGGATGGCCGGATATAAGAAATACCGTAGTGTAATCAAAAAAAGTTATTCAACACTTGGTGCTAATTTTGCCAGTAATGTGTCGCAGGTTATTTTATTATTATTATTTTTTATTTTATATGACCCATCGTCGCGTCCACTGTACGGATCCCAGCACTTCTCACATTCGATTCGTTTCCTCGCATCCATTGTCCACGAAGATCCTCGAACTTTTACGTGTGGCTTCGGTTACTGCTTGAGGATTTTCATTTCATCTTAAATGTCGTAGAATGCTGGTCGAACAATTCTCCCTGGAGTCCAGGGATAGCCGGGCTGGAGCGTTCCCAACTGGATTGCAGAGAGCGATTTTTTCCCAGACAAGTCCGGTACCAATTTCACCGCCCCGGGGTGATCAGATGTTTGGTTGTCCAAAAGCGGAGTCGAACTAGCACTATGCTTGTGATGACGGACATCACTACCACTGTGATATCCGGCCCTTGTCGTAGGTTAACCACAAGGAAAAAGAATGTTGCATGTAGTTGGAACCGCCTCATTGCGGCTAGGAAGTGTTCCTGGGTGTCCGACTGCGATGTTCAGCGAGGAATTCATTCCTGGCAGGATCTACCAATCTAAGTCCGGCGTTTCCATCAGGAAGTCTAGCTAAGAGTAAACCAATAGCCGGGTCCACCACCGTCTTGGTGTCAAAGTCGCATTGGTGGCAAATCTCTGATCCACAAGGGCTGTGACTGCTTGTAGTGGTGAAGACCAGGGGCAGACTTGGGCCAGGCTAGCCTCGGGATTCCAGGGAACCGCAATGGCTTAACCAGCAAATCTCCGAAAAATGGAGATTATGCTGGTGTCCTCACAACCAGCGAGGACAGGCCATTCAAGTATCAAGTGAGTATCAAGCTCTAGATGGATAAAGCAAGACCTCTTCAAGAACCTTCTGATGCCCTCAACCCTATAGATCCGCGAAAATTTATCGTTTGTAAAACTCTGGACCACAGGTGTCTATGGTGAGGAACGAACGCGCTATTGTCCTTTCAGGGTAGTAACGCGTTCACCACCACACCATGCGTGCGGGTCCAAGGACAATAGCGCGTTCGTTCCCCACCATAGACACCTACGGTCCAGAGTTTTGCAAATATCTCAGTAACGTTGTGGTTGTATTTCGCTTAGTACCCTGCCGTGAAATTATAGTAGGCAGAAAATAAGAAGGTATAACATTTATCGTTTGTTTTCAAAAAAAACCAACCAAAACCAAAACCCCTTATTTAGTTCGCTGACATGTTCATTTTTTTCCCTCTTCACGAAACCAGCGGTGGTCGGGCATATTTCATTCTTTATTGGTCATGGTAAAAATCTATCGTAATAACTTTATCAGCATGAAGAGAAGTGAACTGTCTCTTCTGCAGACCACAGCGCAGCAATTGCCGTCTTTATGTCTTGCAACAATAGACATAAATCCTGGAATTTGAAGGACTTTATAGTTTCGGCTGATAATGAATAGCAGCCATACAGAACATTTTCTTTTCAAACTGTTGAATGAAGTCCATTTTCTTCTTAGGATTGAATTCAAAATAGGTCAATTGGCCTGCAGCTCTGGAATTCCGCTTACTCTATCTGGTTTTTCAAATTGGCAGATTGACCAATCACGCGGATAACTGCCTTACAGGAGTCCTCGCAGGGCACGAAATAACTTTTTGATCAAAAAAGCACTATTGTACCTGGTGAAAACCTGCCAGCGCTTGAGAATTGGTTGTTTAGTGATTATGAGGAACATCACGCCCAGCCATTATAGAATTCAACAATTCGGTGAGGAGAGGAGATGACAGGACACCAAGGCGCAGCCACCCGCCAAAAGCGAAAGCAACGAATGAAACAGGCGGTGTGATCCATGAGTCTTATAACGACAGGTCATCTTGGTATCTTGGCAAGTAATTTGGCAGTTCGAATCGTCTAGACGACACTAGGATGCCCACGTGTTGCTCATTTGCATTTATTTCTCCATAACGACTTTAAGCGTCAAATCTGAAACATTCATCTACGGAGCGACCCCTACAGTAACTTGTACGTAATCAACTTCTAGGATTTTCGTTAAAACATCGTTATCACAAGGGAAATCCATTCAAATCCTTGCTCGTTTCCACTAGATTTGTTCTCACCAGAACACTGGTAAATATTCCTTGTTTGGTTGCTCTAGTGCCTTCTCGTCAAGTCTCTTTCAAATTTCTAGCTTTTTGTTTCTTACTTTACTTTGAGCTCATGAAGTAAGATCATTCGAAAGCGTGCCGATGGCATTAAAGAACCTAACAAATAAATGGACAACTAACTAAGGAAAATGTTAGATGCAGGTAGATGCGGGAGATGGACACCACGTTTCTGCTGCGCCGATTTGTCAGATCCCTTCAGTTTCTACGTTGATATCTAATTCGCACGTACGTAGACGTGTTCTTTTATACACAGATTGTATTCTACAAGTTAAATTAGCCAAGAACTTGCAATCAAGTGACTAGGAAGTATGTGGGAGGTAGTTGGAGGTCCGCTCCAGCAAATAAGCTGCTTATCTACTTTTGGAAAGATTGGCAAGCTATCCCTGAGTGTATTAGCCCCCACGTTGTGAGCTCAGCAAACTACGCGTGGGTATCAAAAGCTAAGTACAGGAAAATGAATGCGTTTCATTTCCTTGACCCTGAAAAAACCCCCGATACGTCAGCGTTGGCACTCTTTTCCTGAAATCTCTCTGACGTGCTGAAGCTGGCGATAGGGTGTTTGCATGACTGATATGTAACACTGTTTGGACGTCAATCCGTTCCTAAACAATGATTGCGATACTTATCAAGCTAAAATCCTTGTTTATCCTTCATGTTCATCAAAAAGCATTAAATACCTTACGTTATCATAGGTGGAAGCATCCGCTGAGTAGAATCAATTTCTCTAACTAACTCAACGTGTGCTGGCAGCATGTTTAGCTTTCCGGCGGATGACACAAGGAAATGGATGATTGACCACGCACCGCACATCTGGGTCATCTCAGCCTGTTATCTTTGCTTCGTACTCACAGCACCTGGCAAAGTCGTCATGAAGCACGGATTGCTACCACAATGGTATGTTAGCACACAATTCAAGGAAAGGAGATTTGGTCATCAAACTTCAAAGATTTCAGGTATTATCTCAATGGACTCCTACATTTGTGTCTTTTAGTCGCATTTGTTCCACAAACGTTGTTTTCCTTAGCAGGTGGCTGGAGGGATTCAGTCTGCTGCAATCACTCTCTTTACTCTGGTACTGAATCTTTGGTTCCTTTGTTATCACAGAAGGCAAATTCTGCAAGTCATGCAAATCAGTCCATTCATCAGTTCTTGATGAATGGCTTAATAATGTCTGTTTCAAGTGAACTGCTCTTTTGAATTATTATGATGTTTCGATTCTCAACATCAGGAGGCAGGTCATATAAGACTCATGCTTTCACAAGCCTACTATTACTATTCGGGTAATGTAGATTTTTCCGCTCACTGGTCGGTCGCGAAAGTTCTGAAGCGCTAATTTCATGTAGTCCTTGGACCTCAGGAGTTCATTCTTGTTTCGTCATTAAGAATGACTGCTTACAGCTGTTATCTCTGGAGAGCGTTCTGGGCGTAAATCCTTCAGTGGCGCAGGCAACAACTGCCATTAGATTTCTCGCCATTTCTCGTCGATTACAATGAAAGAATATCAAGTTTCTCCAGTTATTGCAATCGCTGCAGGGTTAATCAGCGGCACAGTAATGTTTCTGTTCGTGTTCACGAAACTTCTTGATTTGGTTGAGACAGTGCTTATTATTCTGGAGGGACGTCAACCACTGCTAATTCACATTTTTCACCATGTCATTACACTTCTTTTCACATGGCATAGTTATTTACATCAACACTCTCTTGGAAGGTCAGTATTTTGTTCTGTTGATTAGTTGACAGTATGTTGTTAATAACGATTTATGAGGACTAGGCGTCACAAACCAACTTTCGCTGACTTAAACATAGGTGTAGTTTATGACTACATCGTGAGTCGTCAAAAAATATCAAATTCTTGACGTTGAAGTGTATTTTAAGAAGTTTATATCAAAACTAATGTTATCGATGGGGATTGTCAACAGCAGTGCTCATAAAAGAACATAAGAGGAAATATATCAACAGTTAAGCAGTGGAGGGAAAGATCAGCTCAAGAAATTTAATTGTGCATTTGCTCCGTATAAGGGATAAAGAGTCCTCCTAACGGTTCACCGCCTCATCGTGGCAGGAAGGTGTTCATGGGAGGAGTTCTGCGATGTGCAGCAGGGGAATTCATCCATCCGGCAGGGTCTTTCAAACTGAGAAGGAGTCCGGCTTTTCCATCAGGAAGCCTAGCTAAGAGTGAACCAGTACCAGGATCCATCACCGTACTGGTATCAAACCTCTGATCCACAAGGACGGCGACTGCCTGTGGTTGTGGTGACCTGGGGCAGACTTTGGCCAGGTTGTCCTCGGGACTCCAAGGAACCACAATGGGCAGATCAGCGAATCTACGGAGAGTGGGAATTATGCTGGGGTCCACACAATCAGTGGAGACGGACCATCCAAGCATCCAAGTATCCAAGTGAGGGATAAACAGTAAAGAGTTCGGTGTTGATCGTATAGGCAGGTTATGCGTTCGATCACCTCCAACGGAGTCAAAGGCATAACGTATCCCTCCGGAATTGTCAACCCCGGACTTTATCTTGTCCTGTTATCTAACACTAACTTCCTTAACCTCTTGCTGTAGAACGCAGTTTCAGGTGGTTCGTATTCATCAATTTGTTTTCTCATGTCATTTTGTATTCATATCTAAGCCCGAAAAAATTCGGCATAGCTCCATGCTGGTTGTTTGTCGCATTCAGTGAGAACTAACTCTTCTTATTTAAATTTACTCTTTACTTTATGAGCTTTATGACGTTTCTTTATTGGTTCGTTGGTTTAAGAGGTAGAGATTTTCATTTCAGCGCAAGTATACCAGCTGGTCTTTTGTCTTCTACTTTGTTTCACCGCGCAAAATGTAAGCTATTTATAAACTTTGCCCAATTTAATATTTAAAAACAAGTGTAATAGAGTATTATGGTTAGATATGAGGCCGTTTGCTTAAGATCGTTGTAAGACTTCTTCCATATACTTCTCATTCAACCCACTGCAGACGGCGTATACGTGTTAATGATGTCTTGTGTAGAACTAGAAGTCGTTACAGAGCATCAGAGAGGAAAAAACTCACCAGGACCCATCTGCTTCTCAGAGCAAGTATACGACCACTTTCCATAGGCGTTTAACACTCTATTAGCAGCACAGAACTTACCACAGTCTTGCGACAAGACTCAAACCTACCATAGATCTCTTAGATAAGGGAGACGTGTGGAGAATTTTTAATACTATTACTAATTGAAGGTGATTGACGAGGGTGGCAAATGCGATGTGGATTCGAGTCGCTTATCTCTGAATAAGTTCGTCTCCGCAGTGTTCTTCTTCATATTCGCGGATTTCTATCACGTCAAATATCGGAAGTTCCGCCAGACCCATGAGTGTGCTCTTGCTCAGTACCTACGCAGCACATCTTCGCATTCAAGATGTCGCCGTACGACGCCGCGTCGAACTCCCCGCGTCCGTACAATCCGACCTTGGTCTCCAACTGGAATCACTCCAACAGATCCCTACATTACAAATTAGCAGTCTTATTTTAAATAAAGACAGTTAAAAATTGCTTCTTTGAAAGCACTCCTGTGTAATGAGAGATCGGTGATGTGCAGAATATCATGTGTTCGTTTGTCTACATTCTCCTTCGTTGGTCAGCGATATTCTATGTTTTCAATAACATCAGACACACTACGTACTTACCATAAGGGCGTTTCCCACCTGGGAAGATTAGAACTCCACTTGGTCTTTCCAATGGAAGGTAATTAAATTGAACCAAAGATTATGGCTCAGTAAAAAAAAATTTGTTTAATGTCCTAGTCGCAGCTACAACTATTTATTCCTGACTTATGCGCAGCAGCAAGTCAAAAACTTGTGTGGTTTACTGCAATTTTCATTAGTAGCAGAAAAGTCCACTTTAGGAAGAAATAGTAAGACTGAACAAAAAAACTGATAGTAAAAGATGTTAAAAGGACTGAGAAGTGGTACCACAGTGAGAAGCTGAATGAGCCTATCATGAATAACTCTGGATGGGCTATCAATAGCCGAGCTGCAAGAGCGTAGAGAAAAGATTGTCTGAATCCCCAACGAGAGCGAATGAATATTTTTCCTGGAGTAGTCAAAAGTCCATAGACGAAGTCAGCGATGAGTGGGAGCAAGCGAGCTCGCTGCATCCAAAAACTCAATGATATAAAGTTCACTCACAAAATTTATTCTTTGTGAGTACCGTGTGATTTTGCGCCACGATTTTTAGTGAAACGCAAATGCGTGGCATAGGGTGTCCTGCCAGATAAACCGCGATAGATCCAGAATTCTCACAACGTTACCTCAGCAACTAATATGCTGAAGCTTAAGGAAGCTTCCGAATGATGAACGAATCTACCTTTCATAATGTCTATTAACCGGAAGAAGTGACACGTTAACCCATAACGCCCACTTACCGCATTTGGTAGTTGGCCCAACCGATTTGCAAACAACTTTTCGTCGGGTGCGGACTTCAAGGGTTTTTCAAAATAAAACGTAATTTTTCAATAAATAGGGTGCTTTAGGGGTTATTAACATGACAGAATTGTAGAAAAGACTTAAGACACTTTGATTTATCGTTCTATAGGCATGAATTAAATGTATGCTACTGTTTACTAGCTGTCACTATGGTCCATTCGATTCCGCTCCGGACTAACCAATCCTCTCATCTCTCTCGGATCAGGAAATTGGTACCGGACTTATCTGGGAAAAAAATCACTACCTACAATTCATTTGGGAGCCCTGCGGACTCCAGGGAGAATTGCTCGACCAGCATTCTACGACATTCAAGATGAAATGAAAATCCTCAAGCAGGAACCGAAACCACACGTTAAAGTTGGAAGATCTTCATGGACAATGGATGCGAGGAAAGAAATCGAATGTGAGAAGTTCTGGGATCCGCAAAGTAGACGTAAAGACGGGTCATATTAAATAGAAAAAATTTAAAAAAATACTATGGTCCACTATGCAAATACATTGCTCTCAGCAATTTGAAGTGTTCTGCGCTCTACGTTAAGTCTATTTCGGTGTTTTCAGTATCCACACATTCCATAGAACGACGATAACGACTAAAATGAAAGGACAGTTAATTGTAGTGGAATTATCGGCCAATGGACTTTCTCGAAAATAACACATTGGCCATAACGGATAATTCTGTGTCGCCCACTAGTGGGATGACGGCCAACTTTCCGCCCTCGCGAACATACTGATTTTTGACAGTAACCGGTATATGATTAGTATATATGCCAATATTTCCTACATGCTACTGTGGTCCATTATGCACTCACATTGATTTCAGCATTTGGAACGATCCGTAGCTTATGTTGAGTCTATTTCATGCGTACTTTATTCCTATTCGTCATATTCGCACCGTCCATGAAACAATTATAACGTTTGGAATTGAAACAATATTCAATTGCGGGTAGAGTGACTAGTTAATGAACTTGTTCGAGATGTTTGTAAATTTGAGCTCTAGGTTGACGTCCGCCACAGCATATGAATTGGGCAAGCTGCCGATTGGTCGAAAAAAAATGTGGGAAACGCCATGCATTCGATTTCATTAAACATCGTTGGAGATCATTGAATGCATATCTGGCCCATATGACTAATGACTCCCGGTGCTCTATACCGATGTATCGAGCCACTGTTGCTATCATCTCAGACAATACTGGCACCAATTTGCTGACCCCGAAGGGATGTAGGGCTTGGTTGGCCTGGGGCGCGGAGATCGATTCTGCGTGTGTGTTGCATAGCGCTTCCGACCACTTCTAACCACTGTGCCACACCACCCCTTTAGAGGTATAGAGGGATCACCTGTATCACCTATACCAGCTGTCACCGCTTGAGCGTCGAGTGTCTTGAGCGGGCGCCAGTAAATCTTCCACTTTTTCCTGTCGCGTGCAAGAGTAGCCCAGTGGGTTCTGCTCCTTCGAGAGACTCGTTGAGCATAGTACCATTCATCTAGGGTCTTCGTGAAGAACTCTGACCATCAACTCCGTGGTCTTTCTGCAGTACGTTTGATATCCTTCGACATCTCGAGGAATCCAATCACTCACGGCTCTTGTGTATCGGTTGTCGTTCATACGCATATTCGACAGTTTAACGCAATGAACGGTGACCTGTGATTTTTGATCGTCGACGCAGGTCGAAGTTTTCCATCCCTTCCCTCACTTGTGTGACACAAGATACATCCATCAACGTCCTCTAGACCGCTCGTTTAATAATATTGAGTCATCTTTCATACTGTTTGCGCAGCAGCCGCGGTGTATTTCGTTACGGTAATCTCCATTAGGAGACTCCCACGTAGTGCTGAAGGTGAGGCTTACGGAATTGCGAATTACTAGGAATGGTCTTCGACGTCATGATAAACTCAGACGGTCGCTTACCCTGCTCGTTCCATTCTAACCCGTTGGTCCCAATGAGATGTTCTTCAAACATCTTTCTAGATCCAATCTTAACGTTAGAACATCTAATAGTGGTCTCAGAGAATGTATGGTCTTTTCTGTAGGTCCATCTAGAATTGATGTCGGTGCGCAAACAACGAAGATCACAGGTATTGGTCCACATTTCTTCAATCGTAGACACCCGATTCGTGTTGTTCGTTGTTCGAATGAATCGATGCTCATGTCCAAACTCGTGTTGACGAGAACACCGATGCCACTGCCTCCTTTACTATCGCATGTTCCGAGGAATAGTTCTTCTCGGTGTCATAAATGGCGTTGAATGGGTGACATCTTCTCGTCTCAGCTAATCCGATGACGTCATACCTTATCCTTCTTGCCTGCATAATCAAGTCTTCTATTGAAGATTCTGATACTAGCGCGCGTGTATTGTAGGTACAGACCGGCACCCTTGTCCTTTGCGATTTATGCACTAGGTCGTCAGATTTTGGTAGTCTCTCCGTACTAGCCTTACTCGCCTTGCCCAACGCTGTCATATGGAGGCATCTTTCGAGAGTAGGAGAACTAGGCCCGTTTATTTTATCATGTTTAGCTTTATGATACCCACGTGTAGCTTATCGGGCTCTGAACGTGGGAGCTACGTACATTCATGGTTGACTTGTCAGCGTCTCCTAAGGTAGACGAGGAACTTATTTGTTGGACGCGACTCCTAACCGTCTCCCATATACTTCCCTATCACTTGATTGCAGTCTTGTGGGCGAATCGACTCGTAGAATACAATCGGCATGAACGAGAACACATACACTTACGCATGTATGAAGATATCCTTGCAAATATAAAAGGTATGCGACAAATCAGCGCAACCGAAATAGGGAGTCCATCTCGTGGTTCCGCCTGCGTCTCAGGGAAGCATTAGGTCGCTTTTGGTCCGCGATTACACCCCATCCGTCACCTCCGCCATGTTATCTTGCGACTAGCCGCAAGGGATCGCTCTATGAAGGAGATCCGTGGTTAGAGGTCATACCGTACACAATGCCTTATTACAAGTAACTCCTATAGAGGTCATATCGCCATGAATTTGCTAATGGAAAAACCGTGTTGCACAAAAACTAACCTGTTCGACATGGGCAACTATAATCCATTCTGCTCACTTTTTGTCATCAAGAGGCTCGTTTGCTAACAAACTCCGTAAAACGATTTGCAAACCAGCTGTGAAAGGGCTTTGCGAAAGATTCAACAGTATAACGAATCACGCCCACACCGTTATGAAGCTCAATAATTTAGTGCAATAACATGGAATGTCGATATACCCCATTTATATGCTTAAGAAAGTCTCACATTTTGTTGAGAGAGTAACATAACTGGCCCGGGTTGTAAATGCGTGAAAGCACTATTAACTCCACAATGACTAACTTATTGGCGGCTTTAACGTACTCTGTAATCTGCAGAGAATTATGTTGAATCCGCACTTTCATAATACTAGTGGAAATGGCACCATTGATTCAAAACGTATATTTGCCATATTATGGTAAAGACCCTCAGTAAAATTTAGTAGCCACAATTTCTATGTGTGTCGTTTGCTCAAGCAATGGAGATTATGCACACAAATCTAACGTAGGCTGAAGCACGTGATTGTTTCGGTTCAAAAAACCAGATTAAGAAATGGAACGAGCTCGGGTGTAGTTACGACACATTCCTCCCTGCGGTCCATCTTCGTGTTTTTGGAGTTTATCTAACATACCCGAAGGATTTGCGCACTGATATTTTAAATTCCTATACGAGGTCTATAACTTTGATTTCAAAATCTGCGCTTTAGTTTCAGCTTATGGAGCACTTTTCGTTCTCCATCTAAACGTAGATAAAGCGGCCTATTCGTTCCAGAAATGTATTAAAGCTCACTCGCCTTACAAAAGATCAGGTGCACCGTAACCGAACTTGCGCGGCCACCATTCTATTGTCATTGGCTTGCCGCTTGCGTAAATGTTGCGGTTTATTTTGCGCATAGATGGCTGGCACAAAAGGTACGAACCTAATTGGAGCCGAAAAAAGTGCATTAGCAGTTCAGTTGTTTCAACCAATTTCTCGTAGCTGACATCAATTTAGGTAGCGATCTTAAATAGGACCTTATTACTACGTTTTTGGGCGTGAATTTCTCTTAAAACCAAACCTTAAATGCTACCACCTAACAGCCGTTGGAGATGGCTATTTGCCACACTAATTAAGATTACTCTTCTTCTGTTCTCCTCTTGTGTTCATGTTGATAGCTGCGTAAGTACAACAGAAATCCTGTCGGCAGGAAATCAAGGAAGCTACCACATAAGTCTTTACGCAAAAAAGCAGATGAACTGGACACGTCATGCTTTTCAGCGACAACCCCTTCACGGAAACTACGACCACCCACAAAGGAGCGCTGAACTGAGTGTAAGCTCTTTAAGAAATCCTAACCGACAAATACGATGCTTCTTGAGTCGCTGGTTAAAACAGACCACATTGAATTATTCTGACAAGAGAGGTAGGAACTAAGATTTCAATAACCTCATTTCAAATTAGTCGAGAGAATGCGCGGTAATACGGATTGTACTCAACGATTTTTGATGAAACTTCTGCCATGTTTCAAGACTGTGTCCAAGATCATCAATATCGCAGATTACGCCTGTTCGCGCCTGTTCTAAGCAACCTCCTCTATCTCTATCCACTGACACAATGGATTCTGTTACGCTTTAATCATCTGCAGCACTACCCTAACAATTTTACAACAAACGCTGTTGATGGTCTTTAGTTTATGCTACTTTTTTACCAACTTTCTGACGCTAGCTTAGCAACTAATTTAGCTCTTTAGTTGCAAAATAAAGGCATATTTCATACCGTTCTGTCCGTTGATGAGTAAAACTGCAAACTGGTCCAGTTTGCGGATAGATGAGAACATTACTTGAACGGCCTGTCTTCACTGGTTATGCGGAGCCCAGCACAATCACTATTTTTCGGAGATTTGCTGGTTAAGCCATTGTGGTTCCTTGGAATCTCGAGGTCAGCAGTGTCCAAGCCTGGTCCAGGTCGTCACCACCACAAACAGTTGCCACTCTTGTGAATTAGAGGGAGATTTGCCACCATGCGACTTTGATACCAAGACGGTGGTGGATCCTGGTATTGGTTTACTCTTAGCTAGGTTTCCTGATGGAAACGCCAAACTCCTTCTCAGTTTGCGAGACCCTGCCAGCGGGAAGAGTCCCCTGCTGTACATCGCAGCCACGATAAGGCGGTAAATCGTTGCGAGGAATGAGAACATTGATGCAGTGGAGTGTGTCAAAGTAGTTATGTGTTCAGTAGAGGAAAGATTCTTTAAAAAACAATATAGGAACTATTTTTTTACCCTGAAAAAAAAATAAGTGCGATATCTCATCGAGACAAATTCAGTGGTTAGGCAAAGCTGTGTTGGTTTTTGATAGAAACGATTAACATTTGAAGAAAATTTCCACATTTCCTAACTGGTTTTCCATCTATTAACAAATTCTTGGCAATGAAATATACAAAGGAAAGATTACACATTCAAGGTTTGTAGTAGTCATAATCTCGCGTTGAATATCCACATGGCAATAGGTTATGAACTTTGGCGTGGCCGAATAATCCACTAAGTTGGTCCTTTGTTAACGAGAATTTACAATTCGGAGGATGCTCTTGAGGAGTAATTAGGACGCGAACTGGTGGTAATGGACGAATCTATAAAGAAAAGTTTTGAACGATGATCGGCGTTTCTTTCTTGAGTAACTCATGAGTTTAACGAACTTTGCGTCCAAAGTATCCATCCTTTTTGTGAAATAATCCACTAGCCATTTTGTAACCGAATCGTCGATGCATTTGAGCAGAACCATAGATTTTCTTGTCGAAATCAGCATGAGATAGCCGACCAACCGTTGCCATGCACGTACGGTGCAATGAGAATTCATGTTTGTGTGGCAGCTGAAAAGTGCATACGGTTAAAAAAGCGACAAATCCAAAACTTGCTAGTAGAACTGTACTGTCAACAATATTGCTAAAATTTGGTTTCTTTTTTTTAGTTACTAAATTCTGACAGCAATGTGTGTAGTGTACATAGCAATGTAGGGTAGATGGTAGCAAACATATTATATAGATCTCTACAAAGATGCATCGAGTTCTCTCTCATGGTTCCATCAAGTTTTCAACTTTTCTAGTTGAAATCTAGTTGAGATCTAGTTGAAAGAAAAATTGTCGTTTCTTCAAATTATCGCTTATTGTACGAAAGTCAGCAAATCCATAAAAATTAAGGGTTGGCAACAATGGGTTAAAAATATAAAAATCTCGATTCCGTAAGCTGTCAAGAAGTCAGCCAAATTGGTGAATTTTACGGAACGAAGGCTACACACAGTATAAGGAAAAGCAGAGGTATAAAAATAATATATACATACGAGGGATAAAAAAGATGTATAAAAAGAAATAAAAAAAAGGAAAAAAAGAGCCATTCTAGAGAAATTGGCGGCAGTAATTGCGCGAAACACTCTAAGGCCGTAAGCATTCATTAGCTTGTTTTTATAGCTCGTCAGCGCTTGTACGAACGTCTGTGCCCTATACGAAACTGCATATGCCCTAACGATAGATAGGGGGATTGCATGAGTTCGGATAGGGAGTACTTGATTTCTCGTAAAACGCGTGTGGACGAACCGCATAAGAGAACACCTAGTTGGGAAACGTAAAGACAAACAGAATACCACTAGGTACGCATAGGACACAAAGACATAAAGGGGTATATTTAGAAGTAAAGGTCAATATCGTCGCACAAGAGTCCAAAACATCCACGCACAAAACTCTTGAAGCATTTTGGATAAATTCCAAGGAACCAAAAATGAACCGCAGGAAGGAACTCACTTTTATCAAGCACGATCTAATACAATATCTCAGACATATTTTCAAGTGAGAGAAGCGCATTATCCACCCATGTGAACTCTGCACGGTGGGACATTCAGCAAGAGACTTATAGAAAGCTATGAGTGTGCGAAAAAGCTGTTTCGATCTCGATGTGGTTAAACTTTAGGTTTCGTGATTTTTATGTTCAGGTTATATAGGCATTTGGCTGCATATGTTGCAGTTAAGTTGATCTTTCCAGGCTTCAATGAAAGCGAAATTTGCCGAAAAACATTAGCCAGTATTGTAACGAATAAACATTGTTATTAATGACTTCGCGTCAGCTCAAGAAGAAAACAACGACTTATTAAAAAGGAATAGTTAAATTTCCTCACACGAATGACAGTGAACTCTCCTTCATGTCGAACTACCGTGGCTGCCGTGCCGGCTTTCACGGCGAATACGTCACTATCCAAATAGGATTGAGGTGTCGGGTACCGCTCAACACTCAAAAAGATGTCTTATTGAGGTTGCATAAAATTGAACCTGGATAAACTTACCTATTAATCAATGTTCCAGAAACTAGCGCACCGATAGGATACGCATTCCCCTCAACTCCAATCAACGGATTTTCTGGAATGTGGCAGCTAGTTGCGATGACGTCACCGGCCCTGTGAAATAAGAACAAGGAGTGTGTCGTGGAGCAAATGGGATATAACACCGCACTTCATATTTTCGGTAGCGAGAATCCAACGTTTTCCGTGTTCACCAGCGACGAGAGCTATGTGGGAACTTCTGTTGGGATCACGGCGAACTTCTAGTACTCTCTCGTCATATGTTTTGCCAGGCTCTGTTGGTCCTCTAAAATTGAGTGCTTTGCGTAGCGGTGATATTTCCTTTAGCAAATAATGCTTGAAATTTGATAATTACGAAAATTACGACAACCACACACCTTCTATGGAAGTCAATCATAAAATAGTCAAATTTGACACCACCTCCAATGTGTTGATTCACTTTACGCCCTGTATCGGGATCACGTCCACCAAGGCTATAAGCGACCAAGAAAAATGGAAAAGACGAAAAGGAAACAAGTATAAAAGAAGCAAGGGAATTTAAAACAGAGATTACGATAAACATTTCACCGATTGATTCTGAGAGGCTCATGTGTGTAGTGTCCCCCAGATTTCTTTTGTAAATCATCCATATCCCATAAGTATCGAGGAAGAGGTTTGGTACCTCTGGCCGGAAAAAAACGTTTAGCTACAACCTGAAAGATGACTTCCATTTAATAAAGCAAGCAGTGTAAATCTATATTATGACATGAACGTATCTATCTTGGTGAACAACTTACATGTATTCCGTTCAGCCTCAGTTTTCCTAGATTGGTTACTAGTGTTTCCATGACTTTCTAATCGTACATTAGATCGTATCGCCAGCTATGGGATGCTACAATCTGTTAAAACATTCACGCTAAGACATTGAAACTGGTAACTATTGGTCGAGACTATTGGGCGAAACCACTATAGAGGCTTCTATACAGATTAATGCAGAAGTTTTATTGAATTTGCGAAAAAACAATACCTCATTTTTACAATTGTTTATTTCTCTGGTGTTTATCCTACCTCAACAAAACTTCCGTTCAGAGATCAACGTTCGAACAAAAATTTGACGCTTCCCTTTGACTGTGGCAGCTACGAGTCGAAGTGCTCGAATACTGACTAACGACCACCAAAATTGCCAAAGTCCTTGACGGAAAGGAAAATCCAGAAAGCCCTAGAAAGTTAAAAACAAGATGTCCACCGATCTACACACATGATATGAAAGCACGTAACAGTTCTCTGCGCGAGCTGGTATGCGCTGTTTGCCTCGCTATGACGGAACATTAATTTCTCACCACACAAACATTCGAACACAAGATTTATGCAGTGATACAGATTCCATCAAATCATCATTCCGTAATGGTCACGCCTACGAGGGTTTTCTGATGATGGAGCGGTGAAATGCGAACACCACTGTTGATTCGTGAGTAACTGCGCTTAAACTCTCTCTCAGCCAGTGTCGAAGCACGCCATCGTCTAGTCTAGAGGGGAATCTTGAACCCCTTCATGATCTCCGCTTTTTTATCGTCAGCAATGTACATACAGCACAGTAATTGCGACGTAAGTGACGTAAAATACACACGTATCCGTTGATCCGATCCCGCGCCTCGGAGCTAACCTTGCGACCTATGTTTCGGAGTGGATAAACTGATTCCAGATTTGTCTAGGAGAATGAAAATTGACATGATACGTTGGTACGCCATCGAACTCGTTGTATAAGACATATATATCGTCATCTGTACGATGTGTGCAATAGAGTCGAATGTACAACACATCTCCCACAGATTGATTTGCGTTGATTGGTGATAGTGGTTATCACGTAAAAACGCTCTATTCTCGTCGTTTATTACCGCCAGCGTCATATACAACCACTGATGTCGCTTTCAAATAACGTGATTGATGTCGAGCAGCCGCGCTACGGATGGTGTCGCCGGTGGGAAACATTACAGTTGATAATCACTCCAATTTCACGTTTGCCTGTACCTTTTTCTCGGCCATCACTTAAAACCTCAGTGTTTCTATGCGTAGTGCGAAAAACTTGGAATGCACCATTGTCATATCATAATTAATGATCAAATATATGTTTCGAAAATCATGCACATACGACCAACTCCTAAGCAGAAAAATTGTGTTTGATATAAGCAAGTGATGAATTGAGGAAGAACGAAGGATATGGGACGTATTCAGGAAAGGTGAGGAATGTTGCATATTTACGAAAAGCATTTAGAAAATGATAGTTAGAATCTTTCTTTGCAACTTCATCAATCAAGTCAAAATCTCTGTAGTCATTACATATTAGAATAATATTGTTCAAGTTCGTGAACCAAATGAAAGAAAGGAAATCCTCGAGGATACTGTGGAGGCCATGAATAAGTACTACCAAACAAACACTGTGGACATCGTTAAGATCAAACTGGACATGAACATCAGTAGAATCGCGACAAACCACTTTTTCCTGTTTGCTCAAATACTCCCGTTCAGCTTTGCTGATGCAAGGTTCCTTAAACCAACATAATATAAGCTAAAAAAAAGCATAACCAGAAAATGGTAGCGATGACTAAACACAGAATTACATTGATGTTACTGTTTACAATATTATACCTGAAATATCATCTTTGCATCAAATTCAACACATAGTCTTTGCATCAACGCTAACTGATGTGTTCCGGGCTCCCAAGGTGCATCAAAATGGCCATTCCCGATGACATAAATATCCGTGACTCGACGAACACCAAGAAGCGACCGAATATTATTGATAACCCACAAGCTGTAAATAATGGAACAGCTTGACGTAGACAAATCATGAACTTCATCAAAAACAGAATTGAGACTTTGTTCATAGAAAACTTCTTATTCTAAAAAGTGCGAAACTGCCACACCTGAGACCACTGTTCTCTAACTGTATCTTAGCTTTCTCCATCGCGATTTGAACCTCTTCCACTGACCCTTCTAACCTTTCCACCTGCTTCGTTTCACATTTTTTGCGTGGGTGTTTCCTCCTGTATCTTACTATCTTAAAACCGTCTTCGTCCATCTACAAGTTTCATTTAAGAAAGACGTTTGTCAAACACTTCGACAAATAAGTGGCGTAATAAACGTGGCCAAAGACGAAGTAGGAAACGGATAAATCTGAAGTTTTATCAGTGAAAATTCTAAAAAAGTTCACAATAATACGAAGAATACAAATAGTACTGATGTAAAACAGAGCATGCAACAGTGTTATTTCAACATGACGAACTCAACACATTGACGACCATCGCGAAAGCTGTTCTCTACACCTAGCAAATTGCGAAAGGCCTCATTTGTAGCTTTTATTTATTTATTTGGCCTCTGCGAAATCAGTGATGCTCGCTAATGCGTTAGCCCGAAACAATCCTACGTTGTAACCATAATCTATGTGTAGAGGTCATCGACTGTCTATTAATACATGAGTGGTTTTGGGCCGTCTTTTCGTTTCCACATAAAGGAATCGCCAATGCCATTTACCATCTTGTTGCTCCATCTCCGCCTGTGCGATACCTTCATCACGTTCACCCTATAAAATAACACCACTAGCACGTGTAACGATACTTGCCAATTAACTTAACCCTGTATCAATAAAGTACACTTATATTCGCGTCGTGATAAGCTCAGTGGGTTTCACTAGCTTGGGAGAAAAAGGAGCACTACAGTTTTGTTGGATTCCCTACTTGTTGGCAGTCTGTACAAGAATTCATAGATACGAACACGCCTGATACGTGTGCAATGTAAATCCATTTTACGTTGTGAGAGCAATAGTAAATCGGACAATGACGAATAATTTCGATGCATCCTCCCTATAGCGGTTTATTTTGCCACACGAGTTGTTTTGATAAAGTTTTTCACTCAGTGGATATCCAGTATAGTTGCTGTACTAAGCGCATTCCAGGAAACCTGTACTCAATAAAACCCAGTAAAAATTTGGAAAAATTGTTTAATAGACGACTTTATTCGTCAAGAGAAAGAGATTTATAAATAAAGTTGGAGTTATCCTATAGTACAGATACCTAAAATAAGATATGGCCGCGAATATTTCAATACACATTCCAAAATTATGGTCGTTTTCAGGTGTCTACGCCCAATCGATAACCCGAGGATACTTTATGTAGCTTCATGACCAACCTGCCTGATCAGCGGTTGCCAAATATAACTAGAACTTTTATTCAGCAGATGGGTACCAAAAAAGCGAAGTGGACGAAGAGACTGATCAGGAAAACCCACCTTCAAGTGGAAAAGGACGCGAATACGTTGTTTACCATCTTTTTGGTATTTATGGTGCGCTACATGACGACGTCGTCCACGTGAGGTTTCTTCGCCAAAACCAGCGATTGTTGGACCGAAAAGCTCTCGACAAGTCTCATCCCTTCTTATTAAGGCAAGCGCGCTGTAAAACTGCAATGAACATCTTACGCACACAATACTTCGTAGCATCATGAACATAGCCATATATGAAGCACCTATATGTCTCACCTGCTATAGACCTTCTGGGGACTACCTTCAGCAAGAAATTCCCTTGCCAAAAGATAAACAAAAACTCCCAAAATGCCAAGACCACCTGTCACTGCAGCATAAAGAAGTGTATTAGATGCTTTCTCAGTAACCTGCAATGTAAAATCACTCATGTAAAACACATACAGGATAAGACTGACCAATAAACATACACGCTAAATGAATTCACAATCGCTAACATGTATTTAATTCCAGTGACGTTCGCAAATAACTAAGTTGTCACAATTCATGTGATTCAAAACGAAGCCAGCAAATGTCGACAAAATCACACTTTTGATAACAGCACTTCTGCTCCAAGAACTTGCCTTTCCGGTGAAACTCGTCGGTTTCGCTTTCTCTTTGACAAGAACTTCCTCAAGCACAGTGCGCTGAAGAGTGTCGTGTCCATCACTTTTCTCTGCTGACCCCCATTCTTTAAGTGAAAAACATCGCAAACCATAAGGAGACCTAGATTCACTTGTAGTAAACTGAAAATTGGCACAACTGACAAAATGTTCGTCCATATTTGAGCAGTCATTACAAGCAGAAACGGAAACTTACATTACCTCATTCTAGAAGTAATCACACTGCGATAAAATGACGAGCGAAACAACGACCTCCTAGCAAAATAAAGGACACAACTTCCACGCAAAAGTAGAGTCATTTTCCCAACATCGAAAGACTCCACCCCTATCCACACTGCATAAATGAATAATCGAATGTGAACTTGGCACTACAAAACTCTAACTTCAAGTAATACTAAGGACGAAAAAAACAATATGGTTACCAACCATAATGGATAGAAAACAACAGCAACACAGATAATACTCATTTTATTCTCAAGATTCAATTAATTACTCTGATATATTTCAACCGTACATACAATAAACAACAACAACCTAGTATCCAACTTAATACACTTATAATTCAAAGAACACCAGAAAACGTTTCGAGTCACCAATATTGATAAAGAGCAAAAATAAATCTGAATGCATTCAATGAACCATACTCCAAGCTCTTCAATAGCTATACATAATGAAGGCTCCAGCAGTAGATTTACCTAAGTAAAACGTAGTCTATAAGCGAATTTACACTCTTAAACCCGCCGTAGAGAAAAGCGAAACTGTACATAGACCGTTTCGCTCCAAGTATTTACAAATCACCAGGATTGATGGTGTATCAGTATAAAAGACCTATATGTCAATAACACTGAATGCCTATATCAAACATGAAAGGATGAGTTCAGAGTTAAGCGAAACCGAAACCTTCACTGCACTCCCTAACTGCCATAAGTAATGAATCACGCAGTTTTTCATATGATTCATATTGGGGGAGATCAAGTTGATTGAAACTGAAATGATCTTATTGTTCCCCGTGGGAAGGAGGAAGGAAGACTTACTAAAATAAAAAAGTAGCTAGACAAGGATATCAATGGAAAAGTCATTTTACCATGTGTGAGCAGCAGGAAGGCGATCTCCTCCACGGCAATCCATATGTATACTGAATTTCTGGATACCATTCATTCCTTCTAAACTTGAAAATCCTTGTAAGGGCACCTGAAAAATGAATACCTTCCAGCGAATACATGTATTCGAGGTTGGACTACTAATTTAATAATTTTGAACTACTCACTTTACTCGTACCAGTAACAAATTGCAAAAATTTCGCTCGATCCTCTGGCTCGAAAGATCGAAGTGCGCGCCAGAACCATTGAATCTAAAATAAATCACTAGATTATTATAATATATATATGCATATGTACATGAATATACATATATGTGTGTATATATATGATATATATATATATATATATATATGATAAATGTGACAACCGAAAAAACCCAACAAAACAAAGATACAAGTTAATGACCTGAGCACTAGTTTTAGTATACATTTTGTATTCTGTATTGTTCGCTAAGTCGTCAATATCGACATCTGGCAAGCCACTAATCAGCAACTCTAATTCCTGCTCGTTGAACATGCTAATAAGCTGCTTAGGAATAACTTCATAGAATCCAGTTAAGAAGGCGTCAAGTTGTTTACGAATTGATCCTAAAATGTTAACCAACATTGCATTGGTAGACTGAACTTATTCGATTTAAAAAGAAGGTCGAACGGACCTGTCATCTTCATTTGGCACACCAATTTCACATATTCTTCCTTATTCGCATCGGTTACTTCAATTTTTCTGCCATCAGGTTTCACGTCCCGAATAGAGCGAACGCCAAATTCCTCCACCTACATACCAATTCAAAATGGCTTTAAGAAGAAATATTTCAGGAATTTCAGGAATTAAAAAGCACTACCTCAAGGCTAAAGTTTAGATCAAGTCCAAGGTCGTCAATAGGATTATTGAGCAAGAACTCAAGAGACTTGTAAAAAGCGGGATCCTGCGATCAAGAAGGTATTAGAGTCCCAAAAACGATTGAAATACGAAAAATATACGGGAGACCCACTTCACTTTCGAGATCTTGATAGCGCACTGGTAGATTTAGGATATGTTTATAGAATGCACGAGTGAAGTAACAGTCAAGTAGCTTATTGTCGTAAATCGCTTTCGCTATTAAACGTCCCACAAACTGAACAATACATGGTGAAAATGTTAGCAACATTTGATATAATGGAGCGATTCAAAAAATAAGCGGTTGAAATACCTTGAAGTAATCAAGATGTTCTGGATTGATATACGATGCTTTGTTGATCATGTAGGTGACCATGTCCCCTGGCGCAGTTATAAAAAGTGCATAGTTTGGATTGAAAATTTCGCGCGTAATTACTGAGAACCATTCACGAAGAAGACCTCCAGCATCTTGCCCTTCTTCACCTACAAAAGTCTAAGTATGCAGAGGAAAACACAAACTCTTCGCATGAACACTTCGACTTATGCCTTACCTTGGAAAATAATGTAAAAACGATGCTTCCACTCGTTTGGACGGAGTCGGTACAATTCACGGAAGGAGTCCGAAAATATTTGCGATCGCCGCACTTGAACCTGCACGTCAGCTCGACGAAATCTTTAATACTTTTGATTCGACCAAGAACATTCAGAGATCGAGAGAAATACTATATCAATATTCTCACCCTCTTTCTCCATCCATTTTTCCAAGTTCCTTTCTAAAGTATTTCCGCTTCACATCAAAGTCAAGCAGTTTCGGGAATTGAATAAGTGCAGCGAAAGGACCACCGGGTGAGAGTGCAGCATTATTTTGCCGCAGTACTTGGTTTAGTACTTCACGGTGTTTCTCTGAGAAGTATAGAAATTTGGATGTAAGAAACAAAACCCAAAACATAGCAAGTTTTAACTCTAAATCACAATCACAAACAGCGAAAAACCATACCGGCAAACGCAATCATTTTTAAAGTGTCAGGATCATCGTGACAATGATCACTACACGAAAATGCAGGACGAGGGACAGCATGAACTAAGAAGAATGCCTCAGCGGCAGGTTGAAGTGCAAGCACTGCATGATGATCTGATGCTTTACCGAGGCGAAGAAGACAAATTGAAACAGCTTCCCAAAGACCTTTGAATAGAAGTTTTTACTTACGAAGGAAATTAAAAACCACAGAAGTTTCAAAGCTGAACAGTACCATCAAGCCGGGTCAAGCGATGACTTAGCACCACATTTTCGTTACTTTTTTCTTCAACCAACTTCTGCGGTTGGTCTTCTTGTTCAGGAGTAGGTGTTGAAGGTGCTGCTGAGATAGACTGCTCAACAGCAGACACAGACGCAGGAGAGCCTTCAGTAGCAGCAGGATCGATTTCTTTCTGTTCACTGGTTTGTTTAGTTGAAGAATCCGTGGATTTTTCCTCCTCTTTCTATAAACAAGAAGATAACTGAAGCACAAAAATTATACAAACACATATACTTATGTTACTTTTTTGTTCTCGCTTTCAGCTTTTTTACGTCGTTCCTCCTTCATCTGCCGCATTGTGTCTCGTATCTTCGACAGCGTTTGCAAAGCACACAATAATTTATGTTGTGCGCCAGACTTGTCCGTTAGCATTGTAACAGCTGGTAATTGAAGTTCAGGGCAGGAACTTGCGCTTAGAGTCTAAAAACTACTTCTACTAATGAAGAAGTCAAGAGTTGGCAGGAAAGCTCACAAATCGTCCGCCATTTTCTGCATCCAGGACGAGTCTGCCAATACGATGTCGTGCTTGTCTTTGGTCGCGGTCAGCCACAGCACTTGCACTTGTAGTTGCGATTTCCGCATCAGCTTCCACCGAGAGAACCTTACTTGTTGAAGGCAGATCATCAGTCACCATTTGAACATCAGGTTCACCAAGCTCTTGTATGAGGCGTTCAATCTGGAACGTTAATAAAACAGCGTCAAATATTTCCTGCAAAACAAAAAGCTGAAACAACAGACTTGTGGTTTGAGTTCCAGACCAACAGTTTCCACTGAGGCGAACAACTGCTCATATACCGTATCAGCTATAGCAGGAGGAAGAGCACGCATACACTCAACCAGCAACGTTCTGAAATACCCTATTAAACTAACAGAGATGCTAAAATGAGAATATTTACACTTGGAATTAGTGAAAACTCACCGTCCATCAGCAAGGCCTTCATTGCTACAAGAGCCGTGCATTAGAACATCAACCACGGCTTTCAGATGATTTTCTAGCGGACGACAACAATCAGGATTACCCAATAACGTCATCGTTTCATTTGGTAAAGTTTGAACAATCTAAAACTTTTAAACAAATATATCGAAGTAATCATGCAAATAGTAGAACGGTAACAATTACCGTGCTGATCACGCGCAAGAGACGATCTTGAATGGCACCAGTTTTGGAAACAAAGGCTTTGCTAAGGTGCTGCATTAAGCGTCCTACGTGAGAACTTTCAAGCGATATGTTTTCCGCACTTTCACGAGATTCCTTCGCCGTAAGAGCTTTACAGGAAGATGCCTACGAATAATTATTGCAAAAATCATTGCCCGTATGTAAACAGTAGTTTTAAAAAAGCAGTTTAATAAACGGTTTAGATTATACAAAATAGTACCTGCACTAATTCCCAGAAAACATCAAGAGGAGGAGTCGAATCTCGCGCAGACACTGATGGAAATTCCACTACACCATCTTTCTGCTGTGTTTGGGAAAATTTACGAAGACTAGGTGGGAGGAAATGTCCAGGATAAGTCTTTGCTATGCTAGCAAGGCTGTCGAGAACATTTTTAGACAGTGGAAGAGACAGCAATGGATGAATTGCAACTAAACATTGCAGATTACTTCTTGTAAACAAACAAGGAGTGTGAAAAAGCAAGCAAAACATGATAGGCAAACGGCCGACCTCTCGATGCATTTTTACCAATTTTCAGAGCCCGCTCATTATGACCAACACCAGAAACTGTAACTGAATCAAGCCAAGAAGGACACACTGATATTAGCTGAAAATTTCCAAATTATGTTGAAATCAACAACACGAAAAAAGCGAAATTGACCTCTTCTTCATCAATAGCACCGTCATGCGCTTTCTCAAGAAGTGCCAATAGACACCAGATGACAAAGTCACAAGTGTTTGCATGTGAACATGCTAGACGAATAACCTGGAAAGTTCGAAACTATTCCCTTTGTTAACGGGGTTAATAATACCAATCGAAATGAATAAGCAGAATAAAATAAGTACTATAAACGCTGTGTAACCAACGAAATCAATACAGCAAATAGTACCTTTTGCAAGCGACCATTACTTAGTCGATTGTCAACGAGGAACAACATCGTTAGTATAAGTATGGAATCTCGATCGAGAAGCTGCAGTGATTGTGAACTGGCCGTGTTCGCTTGCCCAGCAAGGCTCCCAACTGTAGGTGCACCACTTGCGCTACCATGACCGCCATTTGCCCGCACTCCACCGAACGCACCGCCAAAACCAGTCAAGTTTACATTGGAACGAAGTCGAGACCGTGTTGAAGAAGGCATTAGCAGGTGGCGAAACCGAAGAATGTTCTGTAACTAAATACTCCATTGCGCTTTAGCAAAGGAAAAGTATAACTCAAAGAGGATATATCAGCCAAAGATCTGCCTCACTGGTTCTAAATTAGCACGAGCTCGACGTGCTTCATCTTGCATATCAGTCGGTAGACGCTGTAATTCTGATTCGTCCATTTCAGCAAGTACCTAAAACGTCGATAACAGCATTAAGGAACAAGTACAGATTAAATTACATACACTAAGAGAAAAACAACACAAAATTTTAAGCCAGAACAGCGTAACTAACCTGAGTTCTTTCATGGGCAGGAAGAGAAGCAATAACAGCAGCACCGTCCATTTCTGGTTCGGGTGCAGCAGACTGAACTGGAGCATTAGCCCGACGTAGCGCCTCTTCGGCTTCACGAACAGCTCGCTCATGTTGGGCTAGTATTTCCTTAAAAAGTGATTATCAGAACTAATGGATTGCATAATTTTCCAGAACAAACCTCCTGTAATTCTGGTGGTAAAGCAGCGAGGAAATCTTGATCAATGGGCTCGATGGCTGGCACAGTAACAGAACCACCTTCAACATTACTCCGATCCTATAATAAAATTCATTTTCGAAATGTCGACATTACGTCGCCAGAGCTGCCTCCGTTTTTAACTTTTCAGATTTGCAATTTATCAATTTTGCTTGTTAGTACGAAGCTGTGAAAAGCTCACCTGAGTAGGAATACTCGCAGGCAATTGGGCAGCGCGTTGCGCTCGCTGCTGACGGCGATGGTCACGAATCACTTCAGCCCTCATATCCTCTGGTAAAGCAGCGAGGAAAGCAGGATCAACACCATCAGGTATTTCGATATCTGAAAGCCATAAGTATCCTCAAAATTTCGATTCAAAAGAGTCAAGGGATCAAAGGTCTGACCACCCAGTATATCTCGAAATTCCTCTGGTATTGCATTGCTTTCGGAAGCAACAAGGTTTGTAGCGGTACCAGCAGATGGTTCATCTGTTGCGATCGTGGTGCGCTCAGTGCTATCGAGACTTAAAAAAAAACTTTAGAGAATGAGATTAAATGTATATGGTTGATTCTTACCGTCCATTTGCATCTCCCATATCATTCACATCTTGACTAACACCTGGGACTGTTGGTAGAGGAGGTGTTATGACTTGTTCTTCATCAACTTCCGCCTCCGGTAGAGATGATGCAACAGTTGCAGCGGATGAGTGAGGAGGTGCCTCATCCATCGACACATCCGCCTCGTTGTCTCGTGGTTCGAACGCTTCTCAAAGTGTAACATACGAAATAATCAAAATTTTTCACAATATTTCTACTATTTGACAACTGCGCACCATAGCTTCAAGAAAAGATATTTGACAAAAATTGTGGCACATTAAACCTGAACAACATATCAAACTTGACCATTTGCACTTGGTCTTATTGCCATTTTCAAGATTTTGCAGAAAAATATAGCACTATGCCTACCTATTCAAAAAAGTTTTTCTTTCACATTGTACTCAGTGTTCTCTACAACCACTCTCCGAAATCTTTAGCCGTTGTTTCTTATCACAAGATGGCAGATATGCAGATGAAGATGACGACTGCATGGTTAGAGAAGAACAACAACGGAGTTGAAGAATTTTAACTGTTTAGAGTGCACCAGCTTCGTAACATGGATCTTTATCACAAACGAAGTATCCGTAAATACCAAGTAATTCTTATGACTTGGATATTACTACAACGGTTTGTACAAAAGCAGTGATTTCTTCATATAGTTGGGGTTTTTGTTTTTGACTTCGAAAGAGCGGTCTCCACAATCTCCATCTTTCTCGTCTTTTAGGCGAAATTTTCCAGACAGTTTTTCTATTCCAAAACGTTCCCAATAGTGCTCTATATTCGAATATATTAGTTTTCAAGAAGAAAATGTTGCGCATACTGTCGCAAAACCTTTGCCTTAGGCCACCTTCGACGCCTCAATTAGAAATTTTGCCCTAAAAAACAGGCTGCACCTGATGTGTCCATAGCTTCGCTTTCCACAACGGGGATTGTAGATGGAACAGCATCAATAACACTCTCAACAGCACTTGATAACGCTGTTGTTAGGTCCGATTCTCGATTTGCCTGCGCGGACTCGTCCCATGCCTGGCGAGCTACTTCAGTAGGAGGATGGGAAAGCACAGTAGCGGTTGCTTCAGATGTACCAGGATCCTCGTTGGTAGTTGATGGATTCTTAGATGTGAGGTTACTATTTTCTTCCAATGCTTTTTTAGCTGCTTGTTCAGCAACCTCTTTTGCTTGATTCTAAATGTCATTTGTTAAGGCAATGCAAAAAAGAAAACGAAACAACTACCAGTACAGCTACAAAGTACCTCTTCTACACGTTTTCTAGCTACACGAGATACGATCGTGTTGATAATAATAGCAACGTATTGCATCGACACCCCGTCCATCATATCAGCGCCATCGCTAAATCGGTCAAGAGCTGAAGGAGCCGATGCAGGTTGCCGCACTCGACGTTCTTCAGGGCTATCAAGCAAGTTTGATCCCTGTAGTAAAGTTCACATAAATTTTAACAAAAGCTGGTGATACCACATCCAACGTAGAGCACAAAATAATAGTGGAAAAATCTTGTTACCATATTCACAATACGTCCCGCAGTCATACTCATTAAAGGTCCACTTCGATCTCGACCATGCATGTCAAACAACCTGTCGAAAAGTTGACTTGTTGTAGCTACACGACCACGCTCAGGGGCTCCGATTCGTCGAATGGCATTTTGGCGTGTCAGGGTTACGGGAATCCCCGCTCCCCCATTATCCAACAGCAAACTGCGGTGGTTTCCGACCTATAAATGAATTCATAAAATTACACTAATGAAATTTTTACAAGAACGGAAAGCTCAAATAAGAGATACACGTTATTACGATTCTTGACAGGTGTTCAGTTTTACTCCACTATATCGGCAGGGAAACACGGCAACACATAGGCTAGTTGGACCACAAACAAAAAAAAAAACAGAACTTGCTCTAATCGATTGATACTGTTTTTGTTTATTGTTTTCCACAGTTCCCCGGAAACTCTATCACTACTATTTTGAGCGTCTAGCAGAAGAAGACCTAACGCAATCAGTAAAACATCACTCAAGTGACAACTGCCCTAGATTTTCGATAATTATTCATGATGCACTACCTCTTCGTTTCCTTCCCCTCATGGAGCTTTTTTTTTTGAAATCTTTGTAATTACTCGATAGCTCATCCAACAGTGGTAATGGAACGTTACTTCACTTCAAAATGCTATATGAACCACAAGTGTTGCATGGATTGGACGAGTTCGCAGACAAAACCAAATGCTCACAACAAAATGTTTTTATGATGGGCCATAGCACCACAGAGCCAGTAATGGCATATATATATCGCCTTTACTCCAACAGCGACAAACACTGCTTATCCTATAATTCTGTCATGTTCTCAATTCTTGAATCCTTCGAGTTGTCCTTCTATTGTTCAAAAACCAACAAATCCGTAACAATATGAGGTAAGTTGACTTCTCTCTAAACCCTCACACAGAAATTGGCCGTCACCATCAATAAATTAAAGCAATTCAGATACATTGTGGATCTATTTGAAAACCTAGGAGCACGTTTCCTCTCATCCATCATCTATAAAGATCTTCCAGCTTCCAAGGGCGACTTTGGAGTTGCTTGAGGACTTTCCTATCGTCTTGAAAGCCACTGAACGCTGATCGAGTCGATTCTTCTTCGGGTACTGAGACAGCCGGGCAAGAGCATTCCCGCTTAGAATGCAGAGAGCGATTTTTTCCCGAACCAGCCCAGTACAAAATTCCCGACCCCGGAGAGATGACAGGGTCGGTGGGCCAGTAGTGGGATCGAACCAGGACCACTTTCGTGATGAACGCCATCACTACCACTGTGCTATCCGTCTGCAAATTCTTTCCACTCCATTTTTTGACATACTAATCATATAGAAACATAACTACCCGAATTTGAAGTTGCACAACGAAACCATGCAAAGTTTCAGCTAGTCCGCAGTAAACCCGTAAATTCTGACAGACCAGCATGAATCTTGTACTCCACAGTTGTTATAGTCACGATAATGACGATAGTGTCATGGAAGCAGATCGACATATCATTAAGAAAATGACTTTAAAGGTTAATCAAATTTCAGCCAACTATTAACAACTCCACAATCCATGTACGACACCATACAAACAAAATCGCTGGTTGAAAGTGACTCAGTAGACTACAAAACAACAAAATAAATTTTCAACATGCCCTTGCCAATCTTTCTAGCCGACTGACGGTTGGAGCAGATTGCCGACTATGAGATGGCTGTGAATCTGCGATATGAGCTGGTCGTACCATTAATGGGTGGACACCAGCACTCGATTGCTCACGGCGAGCACCACGATGCTCCCTAAAACAATAGTTCTACTATTAGTTTTTAAGTACGTTAAACACAAAAAGTTGAGTAAGTAAATGAGAACCTGTTGATTCCAATTGGTGGACCAAAAATAAAATCATCAAATCCAAATGAAGACAACGCAGGTCGATCTAGCAGGTCGAATGTCATATTATGCAGCTTAAACGTATAAAATACAGTTAACAACAAAAGTAGACATACGATATTTGTGACACAAACCGCATCCTCATCCTCTTCTGGGTAATCGTACATTTCCTCATCGTCGTCTTCTTCCTCTTCTTCGCCGTCTTCGCCACTTTCTTCCGCGTCCACTCTTACAGTTGCTTGAACTTCACCTTCTCTACGGCCGTCTTCTTCATCTTCTTCTTCCTCGTCGTCCTGATCTTCTCCATCCATAGTGTCGTCTTCCTCGCGGTCATCACCTTCATCCTCAACAGTTCGGTCTTCATTGTCCTCTTCCCCAGAGGACATGGAATCCTCTACCTTAATTAAATGCACCACATCTTAAAATAACAAAAAACAATAAAATACATAAAGACATTTTGCCATAAAAGAACACAATACCGCCTCTTCATCCATCTCTTCGTCCATGACCCCAGAACGATGGTGATCGTTCTCCTGTGGCTGATCATCGCGGCCAATATACACGTTGTCCGTGACACGAACAAGCACCTGCCAAATATTACGACTTTGCTCCAAAATTATTCTTTTTTGTAATATCAACACAATCGTTGCAAAAAAGTTGTATTCCAACATGAGGACTCCTTTCGTCCTGATCACCACTGATTTCACGAGCGTCATTGAGAAGGTTGTTAGCCAGTATCTCGCTTAAATCGATAGCATGGCTGAGCGCAGCTTCTCGACCGTTGCTCGGTGAAGGAATTCGTACTGCATCAGCGACAGCAGCATTAATGACTGCCTTTAAAAACAGCACCGGTCAAATTAATGCAATGAAAACAAGCAAACTAACACATCTGTCAAGTGAGAAAGCAACAAATGTGAGTTCATTGACATACTTGAGCACGCGCGACATTTCGAGCACCATGAGTGATTGGAGTGGCACTTGTGGACGAACCTGTGGAGTTGGTGCTCCTCATTAAGGTCTCAAGAGTCTTCAGTACGGTATTAACCGTATCGATAGCCTCCTGTAAAAAGCAGCAATTACGCAATCCAATACACCGACAAGACATTCTGAATACAAAATTCAAAAAAAATCATACCTTCTGTGATAACTGAAGATATGTTATTGTTCTCACAAGATCGTTGCATATCCGTTTTTTATGGAACAACTTCGTTATTGAATTAGGGGCTCCTCCGAGCAAATGACGATGGTGTGAATGAGATAGTGAAGTGGAAGAAGATGGGCAGGAATCCAACATCATGACCAGCAATGAACACAGCTCGCTAACCTATACAAATCACTTAAAAATCAACCAATAAAATTTTACAAGCAGCAGTAAAAATGGGTTAGCATGCAGAAACAATGATAATGGCTCGATAATTACTGTTTATTTCTCGCTACGCTGCGCCTGAAGATTAGCAGACTTATAGATCAAAATTTTCCTATCGCGGCACAAATGCATATAGTTCCACTTCTGTTCTAAATTTGTTTGAAATTAAAAAACAACAACAACAAATTCTTGAGTTGTCGACACGGTGCATCTACCAATGCGTTATGACGAGAAAAAAAGCCTCGTTCACTCAAATGCTTCGTTAGTCCAGATCCAACCATCGAAAATATTTGCAAAAGAAAAGGCAAAAAAAAGATAGACGATTTGAGGATTTGAGCCAGAATTCCAATGCGCTAGAATAGAAAAACTTACTATGTTAGAAAACAAAAACCTTGTAAGAAAACATATGTAGATTTTAAGCGCCTTCATTTAAACTAATGAAGCTCACTGAAGACCAGCGATTATGTTTGTTTAAAATATCCTCAACAAAATGAATAGTGTACGATTTGCATATCAGAGGGATGCGACAAATTGGACGATACGAATCGTGGATGATTCATTACGGGTGGTTAAAAATGAACTAAAGCATGCACTTGCTTATTGATTCGACTTCCTACTGCTACTGCAAAGCTCCATTATTCCAGAGTCGGCAAATAGTTGTCACGCCTGGGAAAACTCCTTTCAATCCAAAAAGGCCAGTGAACATCTTGAAACACACTCCACACTCCACAGTGGGTCCTCTCGGAGTTCCAAGCATGGTACTGGAGCGGCTTTATAGCAGTTAAACACATGTTCATAGGGAAAGGAAACAACAAATACTCGAGTTCCATCAGAACACGCACACAAAGTCTCGTACGCCTTCGTTTACTATACAATGAAGAGAATAAGCTACAAAAGTGTTTGGATCAGAATAGCATGCGAGAATGAACCATGAAATTAAAGAAAAATAGGCAAATGTGATCCCATCCCCTTTCCAACTGTTTAGTTTATGTTATAAGTTTTGTAAACAGCGGCTAACTCACCAGACGAAGTGCCGGAACAAAAAAAAAATCGTTTTTCGGATAAGCTTGTTTTATTGCGAAGAGACTGTATTGACTGTACGGCCAAGACTGTTGACGTCCCTGTATCTCTGTATCTATACTTAACTTTTGCTGTGAAGCTGGCTATCAAGGGCTAACAGTACCAAGATTAAGTGATGAACAAGTTCTAATACAGGGTTAAATAAAGATACAGGGGTACAGGGGCATCAACAGTTCTCTTCTCATCACGCAATGAATTTGGACATATTTAGAAATATGCAAAGGTATATTTTTAAACAACCTAGAAAACACGTAGAACATAACAACTACGAAAGGAATACATGAAGGAGAAAACCAAACTGTAGTGCTCAAGACGAGAAAAAAAAAAAGAACAGTGGTTAATTTCTCGAACCATGTACAATTGTTAGCTTCATAGGTGAAAAATTATGCGGAATGCCTAATTATTTGCGTCGAAATAGTAGCCAAATATGTCATATGGTCCTCAAACGTTTTACTTATGTTAAAGAAACTTATTACAGCATCTCAGAAGTTCTTCGCTCAAAGTTCATTTCAAAACTTTTGACCAACATACGGCTTTCCCTCTGAGTTCATAGACTTTTAACACCCCTTTTGAAAATAAGAAACCCTTCGAAAGTCATCGAATTTCAGCCCATTTACCTTGCTGCAAATAGCTGTCGATGATAGTGAACTGTTTCCGACAGAAATAAGAGACGCCTTCATATCAGACACAAGAGATTCCTGAGCTTTAGGAGAATGGTTGCAAGCAGCCAATATTGAAATTAATGTTTTTAACGACCCAAGTGTGTCCTGAAAAAAACCTAATAATGCTCCATCAAATAAAGCCATATCTATACGATATAAGAATATGTACAATAAGGCAAATATAGTGTCCAATAAGTCTAAAAATTATTTCTATCAAAACGGGAACACACTTTTTCTTGACTGCCGTCGATGAAATATTCAATGAGTTGGTGTACCACGCTCTGTCCATCATCTTTCGCCTCACAAATTAGTGAGGCTACACCAGGGTATGACTTCACTAACTCAGCCAACAAGCTTAGTATAGCTCCTCGACTCATCTGTAACACGTAAAAGAGAGCAAAGTTTAAACATTGGAATAATACACAGTCGCTGTAGCGAGACTGTCTACTTACCATTCTTGTATGCCCTAATGGTACACTGTTTTCGGAAGGCCATTCACCATGAAGACATTCACGAAGAAGCATTTGAACGATCTGCAGAATTCTATTGAATTACAAATATAGAGAAAACAAATTGCACACAGTAATAGGTAACGAACCTGCTGCGTTCGTTCGTTATTTGCAGGAGTAGAAAAGTGAGATTTCGTAGCAGTAGAAACCATTAATGCTCCTTCTAGCTTGGCACACTTTTCCATTGAATTCACAAAGATGGCAGGACATCTAATAATGTAATAAAAAATGTTGATAAAGAATAAAATTTGATAGTTTGACAAAAAATGCAACATACCATCGTGAAACAAAAAAATTTTGAGTGCAACAAAACCTTATGACACACTGAAGTATACCTGGTGGATAGAGGTGCAAGCTTATTCAGCGTTTCACACCAGTCCTTCGGCTTATTCTCCGACATTCCAAGATACTCAGAAAGTGGCGTAGACTGCACTGGATTTGTGACAACACGGATACTTTTTTCCATTACCTAGACATTGCTAAGGATTAAAAAACGATAGTTTGAAAATATGAATTAAAACATAAAAGTACCTGTGTCATCATGTTTTCATCATCTATACATTGCCTAATTATAAGAGAGGTCAAAACTGAGGTAGACGGTGTAGTAGAACAACGTAACTGCAGAAGAGCTGCTACACCACCTTGCTAAATATATGGAAGCAATATCCAATGTTAGTGGGATAGCAAATGATTGGAAATTACTGCAAACCTGAATGAAATTGGCAGCGCAGCTAGGTTCTCTTGTAAGTCGTGCGACAAAAGCCAGAATCGTATGTGCTGCAGTGTGATGAATGAGTGATTTATGCAGCAAGCAGACAACTATTACAAGAAGTCGTGACATCTCTGCCGTAGACCAGACAGATTCTCGTTCCTAGAAAAAATTGTGTCATAAAACATCCAGAAAAAGTGAAGTAAATACTAACCGATTTCATAAGTGTTTCAATATCTATCTCAACTCCATCCGGCAATTCTGCGAACACCGCCTGATTACATGCTAGCCCATCTGTTTGTTTCATGAGAGAAAAATCCACGGTAAAGTCCTTTTCTTTCCTTAAAAAAAAGCAGAATTTGTGATCGAATTAATAGGATAAGTCATCTTAATCGACGATTTCCACCTTGGAATTCTTATTATACAGTTGTTTTTCCCTGAGAAAAATGCTTTGTTCAACTGGATCTGGTTCACTGGCGGATAAGGCTGCCATTTCTTATGACCTAAACAAGAAAATATGTTAAACAGAAAAAATACCCCGGAAACCAAAGTTTTAGAAAAAACTTCCCATAACGTCAAAATTACCTCTTCCTGTGCTTAATCTTTCCTCTTCCGCATGATAAGACCATTTCAATTGTGGTGACACTGCTTTTAGCACATTGCGCCTCTTTAACGCTCTCATACCCTTGTCGTGCAAATCTAACCACAGAACAACTGGTGACAACAAACTAAAATAAATAACTTCTATAACGACGGTTTAGACCAAATCTTTGCATACGGCGCAAGATACTGACCCATTTTGCATATAATCCACGTCAAAATTGTCGTAGACGAAACCAAGTAGTAAAAGCATTGTAGAAACCATAGGCTGTGAAGCGCATGCCTAATACAATACTTGTTCATAAAATATTCCATAAATACAGTATTGCTGCGTGTATAAAATTGTGTGGCTCCCAACGGTTTAACCGCCTCATTGTGGCTGAAAGGTGTTTCCGAATGCCGGACTGCAATGTACAGCGGAGGGATTCACCTCTCCGGTAAGGCCTTCCAAACTCAGGAGTCTCGCGTTTCCACCAGGAAACCCAGCTAAGAGTATACCAATACCAGGATCTATCACCATCCTGTACCAAATGTGGCAAATCTCCCTCCTATATATAACGGCAGTGATTGTCAGTGGTTATGACGACCTGGGGCAAACTCTCGCTAGGCTGGTCTCGGGACTCCAGAGAAACACAATGACTAGACCAGCAAAACTCCGAAAAAAAAGGAAATTTTGCTGGGGCTCACATAATCAGTGAAAACGGGCCACTAAAGTATCAAGCATCAAGCATAAAGTTGTGTGGTAAACGAACCTCCAGATATTCGTCGGCAACGTGGTCGAACAACAAACATGCAAAGTGAATCCGTGTGGCAAGTACCCGAACAGTATGCTCTGACGGCCCACTCATCGCAGCTCGCGCCATGTTAATAATCTAAGTCACACGAATATTTAATTCTTCGAAAACCCATTTGACTAATGAGAAGTGCACCTCTTCTATCATGATCTGAGCTATAAGCTCATGACGACGCCATTCTTCGTCTAATGTGCTGACCATACCCGAAACAAGATCGGCGCATGAGAAGACGAGATCTGACCCAAGTTCCATCAGTCGCTTGCATAAGGGCATTAACTCGATACAAGCACGTGAGATAGACAAATCTGTCTGGAAAAAAACCAAGTTCAATTATCTCCGAAGGCTACCCTCCTTTTGGAATATTTGCGAACAGTATTAGTGAAAAGTGGAAGTAGGATGCAACAGATACACTCGACTTTTTAAACATATACGAATAGTGTATTTCTTAGCAGGTAATCCAACAGGGAAATTAACTCACATGAAACATCAGCCCTTTGACCCTGGACTATGCTCTATTAACTCTTAAGATTCAAACTTTCGTGAACTATTAAGGAAACGATCCAAAACATACATCGATATTTAGTTCCTTCAAAGGTGTAATTATTGGTATTTCAATCGCATCATCAGTATCCAACAAAGCACTGGTCCCCGCTGTACGTCGTAGATCTCCTTCCTGGTTACCACCACTACCTGAACAATGCTTTTCATGGGATACCACCAGTACATATCGCATACCAAACGTAAAGAAATTAACGCACTCGACGAAGCAGCTACTCCCAGAAGGAAAGGTAAATTGGCGTCAACGAATTCGCCTTCTTCTGTCTCACCTACATCATTGCTTCTTTCCAAAGAGTGCTAAGGAAGATCAAAATTACTTACATTAAGCACAATCAGTAGGAAAGAAACAACCTGTGGTAATCCCGCTGCATTCCTGTTTATTAACCATTCTGTAGCTCCTTCTGTAGAACCGGTTTCTTCGAGCGCTTGCACAACCAGCTCATGTGGAAACCCCATGTCGACCTGAACTTCTCTCTTTTTATACAAATCATAACAGAAAACAATCTTTCAACAAAAGAACGATGCCGGGTAACCGCAAAGACAACAATACAACTGAAGACTTCAACTGTATCGTACCAAAAGTGAAACACTTCCTTCTGGAAGCAACTGCCTCATGACAGCGTCTCTTTGTGACTCATCGCCATCCACACCTGACACTCTTATTGAATCTCCTAACTCGTCACTTTGTGCTCTGTGATTTTCGTCAACAGCAGGGGTGAGATTATGCGCCACCTAAAGCGAAATAGTAAAAAAAACTTCCATAAGGTGGTCGAAGTGAAAATCAAGGAACATTCTTACATCCTTGTAGACTGATATGGCGGTCTCACACAGCGTTTGGCAGCATTTCAAGTCTACTTTCTTATCAGAAAGTTTCGAAAATAGAACGCAGAATGCACGGAAAAAATCCTAAACCACTTTTAGCAAAGATACAATTATTGAGCTGACGTTGGCATCTCATGATAAATAAACTTTTAGTTAATCAATTCTGCGTACTATGAGAAAAGAAAACTTACGTTATGAACTAGCTTCAGATACTTTTTCGGATCAAATTCAACTGTTAATGGTTGCGGTTGACGATACATAGTGTGAATCATATTCTGCTTGTTCGCCAGTTTACTCGCAAGACGGAACCACTCCAGAAACACAAGTTCCAACCAATCTAAGACGACTTTAATGGATAAAAATGGAATACTTTGGTAGCCACAAAACAACGATAAAGAAACACCGTTGTAGTCGTTTGCGAGTGCAGGGGCGAGCTTTTCAATCATTAAATCGCAGAAAGCATTATGACATCCAGAAGTATAAAATCGTTGCAGCATAGCATGAAACGGTTGGCGACGGTCATCGAAAAGAGTCACTGACATCTGCACGATCACCTCTTGAAGGCGACCGAACCTATAAAATTTTATCTGAATAATGGAGGCCATCCGACCACAGTATAAGAAACAACAAACTCCATAGGCGGCGTAGGCGCTCCCTCGGGAAGTCTGTAGCACTCCCACTTAATATCGCGGAAAAAACCTGCGAAGATCTCATCCGCCATTTGTTGTGCCGACTTGCTCATTGTAGAGGAAGAGAAATCGTACCGCCTGTTACGTCTAGTGGGCACAAAACACGATCGAGAAAGTTGACTAAGGAATTCCGAAACTGTTCTAGAAGAAAAATCCCCAATCACACTCGTTAGATGAAATTCAACATAAGAAGAACCTTACTTGTTAGCCTTTATCACCATATCAGCAACGTTCTTATGACGGTGCCAAAAGTCGTTCTCATTTTGGGTCACACCGGCCAAAGCCCATGCTGGTTCACGTGTTGCGGTGGCAGGCGGATCAACAGCGACAGACATTACATTAGTTGACTCGGATAAACTATTGCTAAAAACGTTTTCAACCCTCAAGAAGACATTGATGGAAATACTAGTGAATAATTTACTTTAGTGATGCGCTCGTCCCAACAGACAACGATTCGATTTCGCTTGGATCAGTCTGCGTTGCAGCTACTGCTTTCGTTGGCTCAATCAACTTTAAAAGAGCTGTTTCCCACGCAAGAACTCGAGAAACCTAAAGTCCGTAAAAATAAAGAAAATAAAAAGGACAACGAACATAACTAGGATGCAAACCTTGCGAAAACCTATGTGCAACCTTTTCCCTGTATCTGTGAGCCATGCGTCCCAAACACGACTTCGTAAATCTCCCTGCAAAAGATGAATTTATGCTCTTCATCAGATTTCAATAAAATCTTCAAAATCATACCTGGTTTCCCGGAACAGAGAGTGTGTTATTTTTGGTTAACATACTTAATATGGGAACAGCATTGCTCATGCTAGTGATGGCAGCTATAATACCATCTTCACCGAGAGGTACGAGCAATGAAGCGCCACTCCCATTTGAGCCACAATATCCTCGAGATGCCCGCAAAACCAGTGGAGTGATGGCTTGCAAGAAAACGTCCATTATTGAAAGCATGAGTTTATCACCAGATTTGACGTGTTGCTAAAAAAACAAATTGATCAGATTCAGAATCAGAATTGATCAGATTGATCAGCAAATGATGTATTTCCGAAAAAAAAACATTGCAAGAAAAAGGAAAGAGGAAAGAAACCCATTATAAAAAACATACTAAGACGAATTTAACAATGCATCCAACACTAGCAGAAAAAGTGCTTGCAGCAAGATCTGTAGCCAGTGATGGTAAGTTACATAGAGACAGAATCTAGAAATAAATTGTTGCACACTGGCCGAATATTTGCACGAAAGGAATGATTAGCAGCTATGTGGAAAATACGACAAAATCAAAGTTGGTTTGTTCAGTGGGCAGCCGGTGTACGGTTTGCACTTACATCACCCTTCATCAAAACCACTACGCAGATAACAGCATTTCTTGCATTCGATTCCCTTTTCCTCGCATTCGTCGTCCATAATGATCTTCGAACATTTCGAACAAAGAAAACCGCGTACTGCACCAAAAAGGGAAGGGATTCAAGTGGTAAGCTCTCTACCACTACAACCCTGGGTTGACCACATTTCCCACTAACACCTAATCATATGTGAATTTGGCAGCTAAGAGACAAGCAGCGAAATCCAAAGTGGTTACGTATCGATTCCAACAAATACAATTCACATCCACAGAAAACTAGTTTAAGAAGCTAACCATGAACGTACCAAACCCCAACAGCAAAGGATAGTTAGGTATTTTCAGCTGTTTCATAATCGCTAAAAGCATATACTTCACTGGTATGTTCGAATCTCCTCACGAATAGCGGAATCGTAGATGACATTAGTGATGTACACTTCAGATTTTTGCAAAATACAAGTGTTTTTTGATCAGAATGGTTCGAAGCTCCAATTGGCCAGCTGATTTTGCGGATGAATTCTTATCGAACATCGAGACACAGCAGGAAAACGATTATTCACATAAATAACTTCCTATGACTAAGGGTATCGAATCTTCACAAAGAAAATCTTGTTGAATTTCTCCTTACACTTAGAGGATTAGAAGACTAGAAGGTCATTAGAAGTTCGCCTATCACATGCCTCTCCTCATTACATTTCTGTGCTGCTGACTGCGCTTAAAAAGCTGTTTAAGGTAAGATGTAAAACACATGCCTTTTCTACACCATTCTTTTCTACAAACCCTTCCACAAGGTCTGCAGCAGCAACTTGCGTGATGATTGCTTCAAATATCTGAAAAAAATAGGCCATAAAACTTACTAAGTGTAAGGAGTTTGTTGGGTGAAAGTAACTATATTCAAACGAAAAAGGAACCTTGGTGAAGATTAATAAGTAGTCACCAAGAGGAAGAAGCCGTGATCCATCTTTAGTATCAGAGATACAATCCATTTCGAGACCCTAAAAGAAAATGTTGGTTCATAAAATAGCAATGTTTGAACAAAAAGTGCTATTAAACGGGTACCATTTTGTCGGCCATACATTGACCAACACCGCTTAGTTCGTCCATGCTCATTTCTGCTTCATCATCATCATCAGACATCTCCTCGATTTCCTGTGGCGACATTGCCACCTACAGATTCGGATTTTATAGGAACAGTAGAATAGAAAGTATGCTTTTCAGTTAACAGAACACTTGAAGAAACACATACGTTTTCAACATTAGGAGTGTTTGAACCGCTACCAAAACTCTGACTGGCAGCTTTGCTAGCCGATCTTGACAAGGCCATTACAATTTTGGTGTTTGGTGGTGGATTAGTGCCAATCTCAACCAATCGGTCCAACATCTTAAGCAGAACTGTGGTAAGGTATCTAAACACAAACAATCGAAATAGATTAAACACACCACCAGAACAGAATTGAGCATTAACGGCTTGAGTGTTGGTTGGTGTCGCAACAAATCATCCAGGGAGCTACCAATTCCCTGCGCAGCATCATCTGTCGTAGAAAGATCAACCTACACCATGAAAACATGACATTTTGGTTAAAACTCACTCATTTCGCTCCGTTTCTTTTTCATGGTCACAATAAACTTGATACTCAAAACAATTTTAAAGACATGATCGAATGGTGCATAGGCTTTGAACTGCTTCAAACCTGAAGTTGAAGATCTTTTACTTCGGTCGTATAGGCAATAACCATATTCGTTTTACGAATACAGAGCAGCAGATATTACGGGAAACTCAATGAACCGATAAAACGCAACATATATCAGACTAGGAGGAGTCACATTAAACACATTAACGTGGCAGGTTATTTAACTTTCCATACGACACTGGCTTGAAACACGATTCACGTCAGAGCAACATACCTTTTTCATTTAGACAGAGCGCAGTAAATACGTTTCCCATATGGCTGATGACATCACGCGAATTTGGCAGCTTAAAAAGTAGGATAAAGAGATGCGGATGGTACTAATCGCCAAGAAGCACTGCCTATGGAATGGCAATAAAACGTTGTAAAAATAACAATCGCAGCATTAGCTTTTTATTTGCTGCAATTTTTCACTGCAGGTTGTTATGTGAAATACAACCACAATGATGCCGAGATATTTGCAAAACTCCGGATCGAGGGCATCTGCGGTGGGGATCAAATACACTGTTGCCCTCTTCGAGGGCTAATGCGTTCACCACCACATCATGCGGGTCTTTCGTTTCGGCTTTTCTCAGCTAATTTCCTAATTGTCTAAATAAGTCAGCAGAACTGTGGTTGTATTTTACATAATACCTTCTGCAAAAAGTAGTAGGCAGTAAATAACAGGTTAGAATTATGATTTCGACAGCAGTTCCAGCTTAACTGTGTTCAGTGCCAATTTGTGCTCCTCAGATCAATAGCACTGTGTGGTTGCTGATAGCACTGTTCGATAGAAAACAAGTTGAACAAAGGCGAAACAAAAGATGCAAATGTCTCAGCATCATTTTGGTTGTATTTCAAATAATCGCAGCATTTACTCGCAACACAACTGTATCGTTGTAGTTCACCATACCTCTTTTCGCAGCATACTCTGCAAAATGACATATGGCACATGTCTATTCTGGAGAACACTGAGCTGTGACGGTTCCTAAACATACCATATTGAAAATTTTTTCTATGACGCTTAAAAGAGAAAAAAAACCTGGTAGATGAAGTTCACCACCAGCTGTGTTGCGTGATGATACAAAGATGCAGAGTAATATTCTGAGTTGCTGATTATATGCATTAACGCATCCGGTAAATGACCCTCCATTACTGAACATTTGACAGTAAAACGACAGACAAAGCAAATTAAGAACATTCAAGAAAGTTTTAACTTACTGTGCCGAACACTGTCTTGAAACTGGTTATCCTGGATCGCACGCTTAATAAATGTGATTAGTGCCTTAATAAGACCAGACCGTTGTGGATGGCAGGTCTTCCCCACTAAAGTGGCTCTAACAAAGACATTCCCGACGCTGTCATCATCTACATCACCAGAAGTATCTATGACGAACGGTTGTTCTTTGCGACACTCATCCACTTCATACTAAAAAATAAAAGTGTTATACCGAGGATTTCATCAAGTAACGCCCTTAAAACACACAAGGAAGTTCCAGTAAAGTTGGACATACAATTAGTCGATCAATACAGATGTCCATTCCTTTGCAGTTGTTGAAACCAGTGACATCAATTGTGGTGAAATTATCCGTTATTCGAGTACAACGCGTTGCCAAAGTTGCTTGGTCGAGAGGAAGATCGTGATGGGCAATCACACTTAGTAGTGTTTGGGTTAGCCCACAAGCAGCTAGTGTTTCGCCTGCAACATGCAACAATTAGAAATTTGAGGAAAGTGGAAAAGTATATTTGTAAAAAGGATATGGTTATGGTACACCTACCACCAGGGTCTGCCTTACTAAGATGATATATGAACGAAAGCAAAGCAGTGCTCAAAGCAACACTAGGCTTTCCTGGAGTATTCAACATATTCCGTTTCATATCATCGACAATATTTCTTGTGAAGATAGCTAAAAAGCCGTGATATGATCCTGCACTTAATACGTCCAAAATCTGAGAGGTCCTGAAACATAAAGAGTTTTTTTCACGGAAAATGACCTATGTATTAGAAAACAAATTAACCTGCTAGCCTTCTCCAAAGATACTACACTGCAAAGCAAGCGGAGGGCTTCAGTTTGAATAGGATCCATTAGTTCGTGTGAATTTAAATCAACTTTCAACAGAGCTACGGTTTCTTCAATAAATCCGCTATACAATAGAGCATTTATTTGGACATCGTCTGGTTGACAACGACAGTAAACTGCAAGATATGTAGAAATTAACGCTGCACACTCAAAGTGGCCTATATATTTCCTCTATTCTAAAATCGATGAGGAACTTGAACTTACTTAGCGTAGAAATAGAGAGCAAGCGCACAATCAGGCACTGCATTCTGTGTTCACGCTTTTCAAAATTGCGCAACATTCGTATCCTGGCCAATAAACTGTATCTGTCCTCGGAAGTCATTCCTACTGCAAACTCGTCTACTACTTTAAGTAACGGCTGCTCAACCTAAATCGAAAAACTGAAACTGTAACTTCTAAATACACAATGAAATAGCTGTAACCATTCATTACACACCATATGACGCTCGAAAACCATAGAATGCTTGGCTTTACTGTCAGTGAAAGTGAACGGAAACAATGATGGCAGCTTTATGTCAGCACGGACACAGTCATCCATTTTCAGATTTCGTAATTTTCCTCCCCAACACTGGAAAACAACGTCATTTTGATTCACAGAAATCCTATGGAAATATGAAAAAGAGTATAACATATAGTATCTCACTTGCGCCATTGCTGTCAAACTCATAACAAGAGATGATTGGTCCTCCGGACAAAGCCTTTGAGTAAGAAACTTGGAACGTTTACTAATAGTCTGCAATAGTCTAAGGACTTCGCCAACGAGATCCATATCCGTACACTCCGTCAGTCGAATAATTCTCTTAAAATTCAAACGTTTGGAAGCGACATCCATCTAAATTCTCACAGCCACCACTATCTTTTTGTCACAAAACCACATCAAATGGCTGTAATTTGAGCACTGCATACCAGCACAAAGTACCGTGTGAGAACCAGGTATTTGTAGGATGAAAAAAAAAACACTATAATGAACTCATAACAAACATCAGTGCTAGCGTATATCCTTCGAGTAGATGTGCAGTCGAAAAGAAGCCCAGTAAACCTAAGAATCGAAATCGTGTTGTATTTCATCACTGCAGACTTGTCAACCTGCAAAAACCTCGTGTTACCAAGACTCATAGCACAGCTGGAACAGAAGTTAGACCAGATAAGTACCTTCATCTGATGGTCTTCGACTTTCGTCGCATCTTCCAAGATTTCGTCACATCGATTCAATATTTCTGCCCAGCGTGACAACTCAGTCTGAGGAAAGTAGAATGTAAAAGGTATAGTTATCATTGAAAAAAAAATGTTAAGTACATTGCTTGGTGAAAAAGTCAATGAATTCTAGACAAGCACTCTACTTCTACACTAAATGTGGCCGTAGTGTCCTACCTTTCCTAGTATCGCTTGAAGATTTCTGGTTCGATTTAGCTCTGCGATGAAGTGGTCCACCGTGGAAGCTTCTTTGATCGTCTCAATCAGATTTGCACACAACGGAGGCTAAATCTCAGCGATCAAGTGCAGCAATAGATAAAGAGAAATGTAAGTAAGTTAAAAGCTTAAGCTCACCAACTCTCCATTGTATGCAGAGTAATTCTGAGAATCTATCTTCATTTTTCAGAGAACATTTAAAAGTGAAATGTTGAAAATGCCTGAAACTTCCAAGCCGATTCAACACGCCACCAACCGAATGCAGATTGAAGATGGCAATAAGAGTGACATTTCGAGAAGAAAGATAGGGAGACATATCACAAGATAATCAACAGAGCTTCACGTGCTACATCAGAGAAACAAATCCCACAGACAGTCGTGACAAAATCGCGAGTGAAAAAGCGAGTTATTAGAAAATGGAAGAACGGAAGCCTAGGTAAGATGAGGACCACTGCAACTGAGAACTGGCCACCAGTTCATTTCCGAAGTTCTACGAAACCAGTGAAGATGACGAAGCTGTCAGAAAATGCCGACGAGCGGACAGACCAGTATTGCTCGATGCCCAAAACAGACACATTTAAAGGGACGTCGCGATCGGGAACGTGATCACGATTGGAGCGGTGAATTTCTAGTTTTCGCCTGTATGAGCGACGGGGGTATCAACGATAGCTTCTGTTTTTCCTTTCATGATTGGAAGCTTCTTTACTGTTCCATCGACTATTGAACTCTGCGGGAGGTGCTCTTACCTCGATTGTATCTGCTAGGGCTTGTGATTTGTCGGAAAGGCTGCGTTGGTAGTCAAATTGATCCGTTTTGTGTTGCTTTAACTAAATTCACTTCAGGTTATGGATTGTTCTACTATAGAAGACATTATTGTTAGAGCTCGGAAAAGTGAAGACTACAGAACAGCAGATTCCTTATACAAGGAGGCAATAGCTCAACTAGAGGCTGCATGTGTAAACGTGGGTCCAGTAGAGAAGAAGAAGCTACGTCACGTAAGTTCGAAGAGAACGAAAAACCCTGCTTGCTGTCGCAGTGGTGAGGATTAGACTGAGTATGAAGTATGTGCAGTTGAATCAACGGTGACCATTAATGATTTCGACTACAGCTTCGGTTTATCTGCGTTCAATAACAATTTGTGCTCTTCAGATCATTGCTGTTGACGGGTGAGGTGATTGCTGATAGCATCGTTAGAGTAGAAAATTTGCTGAGAAAATAGAAAAGCTAAAGCCTCGGTTGGTGTTGTGGACGGTGCGTGAGACCCCGGAAAGGGTAGTTGCAGGTTCGAGGCTCATCTGAAGCTCCGAGTTCTGCCCATTTCTCACCATAGTTGTGGTTATATGCGGTTTGAAAAGGAAATTCGTAATATAAATGTAGGATCACTAGTGTCCATCTTCTCTTCCTTATTTCGGAAGTTGTGCAATACTTTGTGAGGCCGTACAGCTGTAAAATGAGGTAGGTATTATTTGGGTTAGTGATAATGATTAGGGAACTATAAATTTAGTTGAGATTTTACATGATGGTTCAGTTGCACTTTAGTTCAGCCGTGCGCGCTTCTCATAGCTCTTGGTTTGGCGACGTATGGTAGTGGCGTTGTACAAGTATTTATCTCTCATGAGAAGTGGAAATATGCTTTCACGACTTTGTAAATGTTGCCCTCATGTGAAACGTCGTGACACGTTCCCGGATGAGGAGATTGCCGGTCAAAAGCGACGTATTGATGCAATAATGCACTTTTCTTATTAGAGTACAGCGTCAACGAACTCACTGGAGCTCAGCTGTATCACCTGTATCATCTGTGGTTCCGTTGACCGTCGAACGACTCGAGCGGACGCTAGTAAATCTTCACACTGGTCCTTTATTGGGCAACCAAAGTCTTCGAGGTCGGCATTGCCCCACCATTTTTTGAATTCTCGCATTAGTTTCTCAACAAGCACGTTGAGACAGCGAGCAGCTGTAAACCATCTACTCAGATCAACGCGGCTCTGAGAATGGCGAAGGTGCCAAAACGTTAGCCGAATAAAATTTCTATGACACCCTCGAGTTAGCTGAATCATGCATAAAGTTACTGTCGCATTAGTTGTTAAAAAGGATTGGTTTTCGTGACCGAGCCCATGTTGACGAGAATATTAATACATCTGACTTCACTATAACGGAGTATTTTGAGTACTTTTTTCTAGTACCACGGTATTTAATGGGCCGTGTCTTCTTCCATAGGGGTTTGTTATAACCAATTCGTGCTGGCCACTTTCTTCCGCACTATACATGGAGTGTATCTGTTGGGAATGACTCGAAACCAGCTCCCATGTCTGTCATATCTTAATTAAATCATCCCATCAAAGCCTGATAATCGTCGCAAAACTGCAACGCAATGCAATCCGCATGCATGCATGAACATCCAAGCAAACAGGTAAGTCTAGTACCAATTTCTCGACTCCCGAAGGATGAGAGGTAGTGTGCCTGGAGCGGGATCGAATCAGTATCGTGCTCGTGGTGATCGGCGTCACTTCCACTGTGCTACTCGACCCCTTCATGGGCCAGTAATATTTCCAGCAATTTATGGGGCAAAAATCGTTACCAGGTTTCAAGTAAAGTGCAATAATTGGGCATGTAGTTTGCTGTGACTTAAGTTAGTCAACAGTTTCACCCAAACTTATAAGCTGTTTGCTTATCTAGGGGCGCGTTTAGCTCCACTGTTCAGGGTCAGGGTGCCCTGCAGCACACACATTCGTTTTCGTTTTACCCTCCATGTGGGCATGGCAAGTGCACTATTTCTACGGAGTCAGCAAATTGCTATCAGATTAGCCTGAGAAGATAAAAACATTGAGTTGATTTATCGGTAGGCCATCGCAGGTTATTTTATAAGCAACAGTATGCTTTCAATCATTTTGACAATGCTTGATTTGCTACTTGATGTAATTTCCCACAAATTCTTTACTTTCCCGGTTTATGGTTTACTACACTGATATATTTGATTGACGGAATGACGGTATTTATAGCTCTTTGTACCTACAAGTATTTCCCTTGAAGGTGATCACGCTGCTAAGGAAGGAGAGGAAAGCAAAGGCTCACGAAGCTGAAAGCATCAAGGAAATGTATATGCTCATGCAATCGTTGGAGAGTCCTATTGATGCTCCTCCAGCAGATCCAGACATTTTTCCAGCGTTGCCTCCAAAAAGAATGTCTAGTCAGAACTTTCGCACAAAGAGTGGCGTTAAGAAGGTAGGAAGCAAGGTGTTTATCGTTAACACGTCTTCTAGGACACATTTTTATTCATGATACTCATTTGCACGTGGTTTTGTTCAGATTATCCCGGATTCATGTAGGATGTTATATTTCAGGGGCATATTAACAACGATAATGGTGAAAATGTGGTTAAGAAACCCGTAACAAAATCAAACAGTCAAAGCACATTATCGAATAAGAAGACTAAGCAAAGGTATTTCTATGCTAGGGGATTTTAATTAACAAGTATTTCGTTTCGCAATAGAATCAAGTATGCTTCTAATCCGTATGATTACGGTTTCAGTGCTTGTATGTTCGTTGTACACTTAGAACTATTATTCTTTCAAAAAAGAGATTTTAGTGCATCAACCTTAAACATTGAAAACGAAGAAGCATCTAGTGACCCAAAAATGGAGAAGCAGACCGATGAGTTCATTCCGCGAGGTTATTGTCCGGTAGGTTATGTGTTATACAAGTAATTGGGTTTTATTAGCCACATTTATCAGAGCGATATCTTCAGTAAGAAAGTTGTCTATTCATGTCTTCTCTTCAGGAGTTGGTCGAAGCTATGGAACAAACCATGACTCGAAATGGAACAGAAGTTACATGGGCAGACATTGCAGGTTTAGAAGGTCCGAAGGAGCTATTTAAGCAAACAATTGTTCTGCCTGCACTTATGCCTGATTTCTTCAAGGTTCGCAGTGAACGCGTCCGTGATTTCCAACAGATTTGTTTATTTTTAGTTTAGGTTTGTGTGAGCTCTTTTGTGGCTTCAAATCATTTATTTCACGTATTAACAGGGAATTCGTCGTCCATGGAGGGGAGTGTGCATGGTTGGACCACCAGGTACGGGTAAAACGCTGCTAGCAAAAGCTGTGGCAACCGAATGTCAGACGACATTTTTTGCCGTCAACTGTGGAGATCTCGCCAGTAAATGGCGAGGCGACTCAGAGAAGATGATAAAGCTTCTGTTTGAAATGGTCTGTTGGTTTCTTAAAATATTTTCCGTGTACTTTACTGTTTTGAACTAGTTGGCGGTTAAAATGGTAATAAAACTTTCGGCGTTGATCATTCCTTGAGGGATGCGCCATGCATTCGACTTCATTAAGCATCGTTGAAGGTGATTTAATGCAGATCTGGGCTTTACAATGACTAGCGGTGGCCTATCGATGTATCGAGCCAATGCTGCTATCCTCCCAGACAAATCTGGTACCAATTCGCCGACCCCGGAGGCATGGAGAGCTTGGTGAGCCTTGGGTGCGGGGATCCATCCTGTGTGTATTGCAGGACGCTTCTGACCACTACGCTTCATGCGCCCTTAGTTAGCTGTTATATTCCTGATATTCGCTTTTTGTGATGGTTATTCAGGTTACTGATTATGAAAGCAGAATCTGAACAGTGAACGCGTTTTCAGGCTCGACATTTTGCGCCATCTACAATATTTATTGATGAGATTGACACAATTGGTAGTCAACGTGGACATGCAAGTGAGCATGAAGCTAGTCGACGGTTTGTTATGAATGTCTTGAAATGAATGTGCGATTGTAAATCGGTAGTGTGTGACGGTTTATCTCTAGTAAAGTTATTTTGCACTGGTCAGCTGGCTCCTCATTTGCTAAAAAAAATTGGACGATTAAAAAAGGTGAATAGAAACTGAAGGCTGTCTGTAATCACGAAATTGTGTTTAGTTGAATTGTGGCTTTGATCTCTGTTTTCGAATCCACAGCGCCTTGCGATACGGTAGAACAAGACTAGGCCATTTTCGATATTTAGGGACTTTTAAGCGCCATAGTCATGCTTTGATTTCCAGAGGTCATTCAGTGGTTTTTCAGTTCTTCAATCAAGCCTTTGTATGTATTTTTCTAGGATTTTTATTTGGTGCAAAAAATTGCAAAACTTTATTTATCTCTTGATGCTTTTTTACTAACAAAGAAAATGCTTTTGTGAAGTGAAACACTTCACTTTATAAGCTGCGTTTCGTATTGCTGTATCTCATGTTAATTATGGAGACATTGTAGTGTACTGCTCATTGTTCATTTTCTATTCATTTGTGTCTATTTCTGTTTATTCAGTACACTTACCAAATACTTTTTTATCTAGCGTAAAGGCTCAGCTTCTTGTTGAAATGGATGGGTTTTGCAAGGAAGACGATGGAAAACGTGTTCTTGTTCTTGCCGCGACGAACTTCCCTTGGTTATTAGGTATGGTGATATGATCGTTGTTAGAAACTCGTCACTGTAATGGCAGTGTCCCAAGTAATTTCACAGTAAATGCTAGTTCTTCTTTCAAGTTTTAAGGTTCTTTTTTTTAACAAATGTTTTCTGGATGTTACCTGAATCACGCTGAATTCTGGTCACAATAGTTCGGAAAGTAGACTTGTCACGAAGAACTACATCTTTTTGATAGATAGGAAACTAGCTGAGAGACAGGCGAAACGAACGACGCGCACGATGTGATGGAGAAAGCGTTAGCTCCCGGAAAGGTTAATAGGGTGTTCGATCCCCACCGCAGACATGTGCCGTTCAGAGTTTTGCAAATATCTCAGCACAATTGTGGTTGTTTTCGTACAATACCCTGCAATTTTACTAGGCAGTGAATAAAAAAGTTACCACCAAATTTCTTTTGAAAAAAGTTATTTTATCTTTTTGTTTTGGGATTCAACTTTTTTGAGATTTCATGCTTTCTCAACAGCGTAGGGAAGAAGATTCACATAAAGTGCTTGAAATGACATGTCTTGCCTTTAACATAGGCTTGGAGTGTCGGCTCCACGACCTTTACTGTGCATTGCGAATAGTTCGTATCAATTTATTTTCTTTCTTGTTTCTCCTCTAGAATTTTTCGGTTCCCAATACAGCGATGCCTTGCTGAGAACTTGGTGACTTCTCATCTTCAATGTTTCCCCTCTTACCATCAATACTTCAGAAAACACTGGCTTTGTGACAAATTTTTTTTAAGTTTCTTTCAGCATCGAACTAACAGCTGCTTTCTCCGTGAAATCTCATTGGGCCGCATGATTCCTTCCACATGATGTATATTAAAGATTTTTGGCAATTACTTAAAGCTCTTAAGTCGGCTCATCTTAGTCGCCTTGGTTAATTGTCATATCTTTACCACTGGTATTTCGTACTCCACATTACTACTCCATCGGACCGGACGGAGTTGGGACTCCATTGAAAAACTTTCGGCATTGCCGATAAACCTGATATTTGGTGTTCATCATACGGGAACCACAGGATTTTTCCTTAACGTCAAAATTTCCTGCTTTCCACAATGCTTTAATGTTCTGGACAATACTGAATGTATTTATATGCTTTCTTACACTGGCTGTGGTAGATTCTCTGTTTTCTTAAAGAGGTTAGATTCTAGAAACAACTATTTAAGTGCAAAAACACTTTAAAAGGTACACACATTAACAGTGAAATTGATCAAATTAGATGCAAACAAGGACGTTCAGATAGATGAAAATGAGTGCGCTTATGGTTTTCGGTCATATATATATATTTGTATTTATACTTTTATATTTATGTATAAAATACTTGTAGATGAAGCTCTTCGGCGTAGATTTGAACAACGGATCTACATCCCTTTGCCTGATAAAGCAGCCCGCTTGTCACTTCTACGCTCGTCGTTGAAAGAGGTTTCTAGTTCTCCAATTTTCAAATTTATCCATTTATTTATTTACTCTCTTTGTTAAAATAACCCAGCGTGTACGCTCATCAGGAGCATCCTGTTCATTTTTTACTAATTGTTCTGCGACGATGCCTAATTTTCTGTTGGGCATGCTATGAAATGAAATGAACTAAGGAGTTCTTTCCCCTCTCTCAAAAAGGAACTAGACTTTTCCACTTTTTTCGTTTTTTGTTCATTGTTTGTTCGACACTTTGGTTTTTCTTCGATCTGTAATTCGGCTTTTTTCTATAGTTTTTAATGGTTTCTGTCTTTTATCCTACAAGGCCTTTAGAATTCAACTAGTTATGTCGTCGGTGTTCCTAAAATTTCGTGGGAGTTCGACGTGCCAGTAGATACGTGTTTCTATCCTCATTAGCAACAATCTGTGTGGAAAACTCACTGTGGGATGAACAAAATGTCCTATTAAGTTCTTAAATTTCAGTGTGTAGAAAATGATTAAAATTTTTGCTACGAATTAGTAAAACTACATGTGGAAAAAAGTATTTTTGCCTGCTTGAACATCTGTGTTTAAAAAACTGCTAATTGAATGTGAAAAGTGCAGAAAAAATTTTGCGGCAAAGGAAGCAACCGTAAATAAGATGATTTGAAATCAATGCGTATCGTCCAAACATCGGCCAAATATGGAACAGAAGCAATTGAAATCGATGGTAAAGACATGATGGGCCCCTAATTTTCTTCCCATTTTTTTTATAACAATATTCGACAATATGTTCATATTTTAGGTCCGCTTAGCAGACGACGTTGATCTTGAAACCTTTGCGGACCAACTGGAAGGATTTTCAGGCGCTGACATTACAAATGTTTGCAGGAAAGCTGCATTGATGGGTGTTAGGAGGTACATTAGTAAATTGCTGGAACGAGACGCTTGCGATCGTTGACAAGTTATTCCTTGATGAGTATATAATGTATTCAACTGTATCGAAATCAAAAGTCCCGCACTTATTTAAGGAACTCAACCGTTTTATTTCCATCTTTAGATTGACACGCACGTTAACTCCTGCAGAGATAGCAAAATTAACCCCAGAAGATGTTGATCTACCTGTTACATGGCAGGATCTCCAAGAAGCACATGGTGACACTAATCCATCTGTTTCACAGGTTCGTTTATAGGCAGTTTATTTTTTTAATTGGGATGAGTTGGGAGCTGGTATGAAAATTGCATCATGTAATGTACTTGCTCCAGTATTTCCTGCTCTTTACAATTCGGTGCTATGCGTTCTTCTTGAAAACGTATTAATAGGATATTTCTTACTTGAATTTGATACACACCCGAAGGTTCGTTCAGCAAGTCAGCGTAGTCTAGGTTTAAATTTGTCTGGAGTTCGTCATTAGTATGGCGAAAGCCGATTTACACGAGAGCAATTATGTTTTTCGTCCAGCTATTCTCTGTTATAACACCATGAATATAACGAAAAAGGTGAGAGGTGATGAAATCTTGAGTTACTGTGAAAGTCGTAGGAACAGCAACATCGAAAAGAGACGGCCCCCTACTAGACGCTAATTTCCGAGCGTATTGCTCACAACAGATCCTACATGAAGGCTGCCATGCAGGAACAACATCGCCTTACTATTTGTGTCGTCGTAGTCGTATGGAGACGAATAAAATCGGGTGGTGCACGGAACGAATTAACCCGCATCACGCACCAATGCAAAATTTCTTTATACAAGGCAGTTTTTACCTCTGGAATGGAGTGACTTTGTCCGGCAGTGCCTCAAGGTGTAGGATGATTCTTGGTTGATTATCACCCAAGATTATCTGTTTTCATGGTGACGTTCTATCCGATAGCAGTAGAGAGAAATATTGACTGGTACATCGCAAAGGATGCTTCACTTCAATTCATTGAACTTTCTTGTTTCTAAAAATCTAGCTCGATATAAGAAGAGCAAATCATTGAAGGTCGCTTAGGAAAAGAAATGTCCGTTTGGAGTATCATCGCCTGGACCTTTGTGAGTTTAATGCTTCGCCGTTTTCTCTGGTGAACTAGGACGGTTTTTCCTTCAAATCATGCAAAGGAGTGCAAGCAGTACTGATGGACCTCCTCTCGAATGTTCCTTGTCACCACTTCTCTTCTCTAAACCTCGAGGAGAGGGTCCACCCACATTCAGATCCTACTATAGATTTCAGATCAAAGAGCGCTTCTTGCAACGCGTGAAATGAACGTGTATGTCGGGTGATCCATATGAGTTTGTATAAAATGAAGCGGTTCAGACCAGTGAGGATTATACGGCATCATTCCAACAAAACGGTGGTTGAGATGATCTTCCTAACTACTAACTGATTTGTTTTTTGTGAATGGTCTTCAAGGTCTGGTTGAAATTGGTGGAATGCTGTTCACATTTATCGGGTATGAGGTGCACACAGTAAATGAAAACCTGACGCGAACTGTCGCAATTACACCGTGATGGTAGGGTTCTTCTATAAATTCCATTATACCTGAATTGAAGGCATATTGTAAATGAATGACAAGAACTACCATCTAACGAACAGTAACCCAATTAGGTTTTGTCTCCTAAAGGAGTTCATAAGTCGTAGTTGTATATTTTGGTGTTAGTAAGATGAAATGTGAAGGGTATATGCATTAGTCAGATAATATTATCGAACCATCCGGTCAGTTAATTAAAATAGTTAAATGCGAGCTAGGCGCGCTACCTATCCATACGAACTTTGAGGATGGCCTCCACGTGGATCTCTCATTGAAAAGTCTCAGAGAAAGCGGCGAGTGTGTGAAGAAGTTATTTCGGTCCCAGTTTTTCAGTTGGGATCATGGAGATACTTGTATGATTATATTGTAGTCAACTCGACTTTTCTAGCCTCCGAAGGAGGCGAAAGCCACTGTAACGTCACCTTTATGAATAAAGGGTGGATTAACAACCCCTTGTGTGCTTATCAACACAACAGCGATTTATTTATCGATAAACGCCGAGGTTAATAGAAAGTCGTTCTTTGGAATATTATCGGTAATTCGATTTATTCGCGTCGTAACATTTTTCTTTAGTTCCAATGAAGCAGATTCGTACGTTGCTCAGTGAAATGGCTAGATGTTAAACGCATGTGACTACGAAAAGCACTGATATAAATCTTCCCTTTTTAGCCTGTAATCTAATGAATTATCGAGTGATTCACTGGGAGTGCATGCAATATCGCTATTGCACACTAGAGATCCATGGTGTGCACTGATCAGTGGTCCCGCATGGGACACAAAGCATAACAATTTTCGTGTAGCACCTATTGTTTTTTGACGACGGAGTACACACGGACAGCCTCCGGCATTCCGGGGAAGTTACAGTTGTTCAGGAGAGTAGCTCGTTGGGCTCTTGAGTTCATGCAGAATTTTCTTTTGTTGGAGCCGGCCCATAACTGTTCCCAGTATTTTCCCCACTCGCTTGGTTGGATTCTTTTAGCAGCTTACTGTAGAGCATTCTTACAGGTTAAAACAGAAACAAGCGCATGCATGAATATGTTTACCTACGTGTGGAATCTATAAATATACAATCCTACGAGAAAAAGACCGTAAAAGACTTCTGAGTAGTGCCAGCAATTGGCTGTATGTTTTCCAATGTAGCATTTGGCACTGGTTTACTTTTAGCTGGATATCTGGATTGTAATGTCGAATTTCTTCCCATCTTTGGAGATCCTGATGGGGACTAAGCTCAGGCTGCATATGGCACTTAAAAACTCATGCCTGCAGATACAATGAGGGAATTAAGCATTAGGAAAAATGCATATCCTACGTTACAATGCAAAATCTGGTTGCAAAATTCATTAGGTCAAAATCCGACATTGTTTTTGCACTAATCGAATGCATCTAAATTGAACGGAAAGGGTTACTGGATGAAAAGAACATTCATTTGAGCGGGGATTTCGAACGCTCTGAAATAAGACCACTTGTGAAATGTTTCATGCTTATTTACCGCCAATATTAACCATCTTCATTCGTAGCAGAATTAATGTTTCCGCCCGTAGCACTATTAGTTAAAGTCGTTTTAGTGAAACATACAAATCTTAGGAAATTTAAGAAATCAATTTATCCCCACAAACGACCGCTACTTCAGAGTTTGGAACAAACTTGTCATTTTCTTATCCATTTCATGACGTTTTCAGCACTCTGTTTTTAGGAAAATATACAACAGTATATTACATGGATGGAGAAGTATGGCTCTACATAGTTTTTGACCGATGAGTGATTGCCTGGAGGTCGATGAATAAGATATTCAACTGTCTAGTCATAATACCAGTTTATGTCATTTTTATTTGTAGCGTGAGGGTTCTATTAGGTTGAAACTATCCTAAGCTTTAATTAATATGGCAGTACTTTTTTAAACTTTCAAAAAAAAATCTGAAAAATGCGGATCAGAAATTGTGATACATATCTTCACCGTTTCATTCCATTATCTTCCCTAGTATTTACAACGTGCGATATTCCATAACGAATGATTGTAAGTTTTGATTTCATCCTTTTGTTCTTGTAAGTATTACGGTCCTTTGTTTTAGTTTGCTTAAGTTGTTAAGAATGTAATATGTTCCTACTTCTTTTCTGAAATTCCATGAACTACTAACAGCGCATTACTAATTTGAACTGTGCATTTAGATGCGTAAACAGAGATATATTGCTATGCCAGAGATGGAGCTGTTGAATTTAAGCGAAAAGAAATCTGGCTTTGGAATTTCTGTTGCAGTAACATTTTGGATGGGGTTCTGGACTAATTGGGAAGAAGTGACATCATCCTACACTGGATTACTGGCTTTAGAAGATCACAAAGAAGAGGATGGACTAAACGGCGTTGGTTGGATTCCATTCAGCACTCGCAATTCTAATTCTTCGCTGTGTGTGGTGTAGACTAAGTGCAGCGCAGTTGGTCCTATCAGTGGCCGCTTCGTTTTTTGTTGTCTTGCCTCTGTGACTGTTACACGAGGAAAACCCAACGAACTCAGGCGCTGGCTTGTCTCCTCCCCTTGCCCATCAGGCCTTTCATCCTTTGTGGGGTAGGAAAGTAGGTGTCAGGCTTGTGTATGAACTGTTCACTTCCTTCAGTCGACATAGACACGCTTTAGCACGGATATCTCACGACTCCGTAGTAGTCGACTCAAGTAGTCGAACCAAACCCAAAAGTTGAAATACTTCCACCGATGGTTGATGCGAGGAAAGACGAATAAAAGAAATGCCGGGATTCGCACAACATGTGAACTTGTATCATGAGAAAAAAGTTTGGATTTCCATATATTTCGTTAGCATTTGCTGTGTCTTCCGAATTGCTATGCGGTTCCGTTTCTTGGGACTTGTAGGAGTAGCTGGGATTTCTACAACCTCACGCCATTGTATAGAATTGATGACGGAGGTAATATACCTCTTTTATACCAATATACCAACCTTTTCCGATCCACAACTCCCGTCCCATAACCTAAAATCGCCGCTGGAGAAAAATCACATGGAACTCTTCTCTTTGAGACTCGAGTTTCGATAGAAACCATGTATATGCAAGGGCACGATGATTATCATCGCCGACTTTCTCAGAGATGGAGGGCGCAGTTTACACGCAGTTCTTGCAAACCATAGGACATTCTACCTTGAAAAGAAAGAAATTCCAGTACAGTGAAGGAGTCGCGCATGGTCATCTCTTCCAAGAAGAGTGATTGTGGAGATCTTCGCAACTCCCGTCCAATGTGCTTGTTGAGTGTTCTCCACAACCTCTTCACGACTATTATCCTGTTGCGCATATCAAGGACTTTAGATGAGGCGGAAGTAGTAGTGCAAGCAGGTTTTTTAAAAGAATTTCTTTTCCAATGGACCATATCAAAGCATTGTCGACAGTAATAGAGGTTCGTCCGGTGTACCACCTGCCCCTAGTCCTGACTTTTGTCGATTATGAAAACAGTGCTTGACAGCGTCAAAACGAATGCAATCCTATTAGCGCTCATCGCCCAAGTCGTGGATCCGTCCTACATAAGAGCTCTATCTGATATCAATTGGTACAATAGTATCTATTCTCTGAGTTGTACTAATTTCTAATGCGAAGTCTCGTACACTGCTCAACAATGACGCGTTCAGCATTTGGTATGAGTTTTACACTATATTTTTGTTATTATCTTTGTTATACCTCGGAATTTCTAGATGTCCTACTTCCAACCATATTTTATGGTTTACAACCTGTAATTTTCATAAGGAGGAGAAGGGATAGCGAATTTATTAGTGATGTTCATCAGGAAACGAGGTGCTAGTTCGTCCCACTCTCCTATGCTTTCTTCCAATCTACGTCGGAACGCCCAGCTAGGCTATATCCAAGATTGCAGGAAGAATTGACCAATATTTCACAACATTCACAAAGAAGAAATCCTCAAGTAGCAACCAGTGAAAGAACATGCGAAATGTTCGAAGATCTTTGTGAACAAATGATTTGAATATAGGGAGTGGTGGGTCCGCACACTATGTGTGATGACAAGTCATGCAAATAAACAACTAGATGGTCGTAAAGGTTCAACACAGCGAAAACACATTAATGAGAGCTCACTCTATATCGGGGTGTCGTACTAGGGTATTCGTTAGCAACACTAGCCGCTTCGTGTGGAAGATAACTTTTTGTACTTTATTAAATTTAATATGCAGTTTTTCTTGGATCACAAATAACAGAACTAGCGTGGGAAGACGTTTAGTAAATTCAACAGCGAGAAAGAAAATGCATAGAAATCACTGAATACGGTCAGATATTTAACAGATATATCAGATATGCCCAACATTTCTACTCAGATGTAGGTCGCTCTATATTGGAAGGGTGCGAGGATCGCCAATGGAATAAAACTTATGACTATAGAGAATAGATGACGGTATTGCATTCTTATATTATGGCAAGATGATGCAAGCTAAAATGAAATTAGAAGACGTAACGGATGTTAAAAATTTCATAGTCCGGTGTTAAAGCGCAGCACTGAGGTTTTCCGAGATTGTATAACATCTGGTGAAAACGGAGAAGAACGGCTAGTTGTGTGCCCATCTCTCTGACTCTACTATTCTTCCCAACTTTGTAATTTTCACGGACACCGAATCGTTTCACAAGCAGCATGGAGGATCACTCAGTATGATCAACTATGCTGCACAAAAGATAACGCTAGTATTTAATATCACTCAAGTGAGAGAATTCGACGTTCCCACGTTGATGATGAAGGGTCGTGTTTCCACACAAGCCATTGTCGAAAATTAGGTTAGTCAAGCAAGGCGAGTAAAAGGAAGACCATCGATTCTTTGGTGTTAGAGTTAACTGAAAATTCTAAAAAAAAAAAGAGAAAACGCGATCCTCGCTCGTGGGACAGGTGATATAAAGTTTTCGTTGTCATTTACTTCTCGAATGTTATTTCAAAATACTTAACTGCTTTTCTTTTTTTTAATTCCACTACTACTCGGCTTCATATCTATTACACTGTGTGAATACCAGCACTTGTATTCGTTTCTGTGCATCCACCACCCACGAAGGTCCCGTACTTCGTAAATAGTAACTTCGGCTGCTGCTTGAGAATTTTTTGGTCTTTGTCAAAAATGTACAGTGCTGGTCCGGTCGACTCTCCACTGAATCCTAATTTGTGTTAGAACGTTTCCACGTGGTTTAGAGGAAGCGAGGTGGCCTCAGACAACTCTAATAGAAATTACACCACATCGGAAAAATGAGAAGCGTGATGAGCCCGAAGCGGGTCGAACCAAGGCCAGGGTAGGTTGGGCCGTTCACGTAGAGAACGCGATTACTACCATTGCTTCATCCATTCCATAATCTTTGTGGTCTTTATGGTCCAGATCTAGCTTTTCGTTTGTTGACCTGAACTGTATAGATTGCAAACGCATTTCGTTTGGAATCGTCCAAATTTCGTGGAAATTACTAGGTTTCTCTTTCGAATTTTTACAAACTGGTGCTAATATATGAAGAAAATCAATTGAACAATTATTTGTATAACTGTCTTTCCAATTGCTGCACTGATGTAAGCGAAAGGCTGAGTCTTCATAGGTGATTCTAGAGCCAAATGAAAGTAATTGGATTTAGTTCCTTGGAAAAAGTGCATGCTGATTTCAGAGAAACATTTCAACTTCGCTCATAAGCCAGCTATCATTTGATGCCCATACTAAATAAAGAATGTGACCTAAAAAGAACTAGGATACGAAGGGTTTTAAATCACTTGGTAATTTGTAGTCTTGAAGAGTCCAACACAGCGAAGAAATACAATGTTAGATACAATACAATCCCCACTGCATACACCCGCGGTCCGGAGTTTTGCAAATATCTCAGCATTTCATACGAGTTATGTTTCGCAACATACCCTGCCATTAAGAAGAAAAAGGCAGTAAATAAAAGGGTTAAGATTACAATGTTAGACTTTATTAAACTTACAACCAAGTTTATTACCATGTGAATTAGTATAGTTGATAACACGTGGACATCCACGTGATAAACGGATCTCAAATGCATGAGAATGTTAAAAGGCTCAGAGTTTTGACATGAGTCTCTCATACTCTTCCAAGGCATACATCCTAGGTGCCGGCTGTGGAAAAAACTCATCGCCTTCTTTAATGAAACACTTTCTTTCCACATTGTGCTTAAATCGCACTGCTTCATCAAGTTCCAATATCGGTGTTACACACGCATTTTGTCCTGAAAGCAAATAATGATTACTAGTACGCTTTCGCAGGCTGCACGATCTGATGCATAGCAACGGCGGCTATCGGAGCCCTTCCATTCAACAAGAAGCCGGTTCCTAGCATTCAATGTGCAAAAAATTACCACTAATCTCATTACATCACGAGAGAAGCTTGAGCAGCCAAAATAGAGTATGAGAAGAAAAAAAGATTACACGAACAAGAAAATGCACCAGCGAAACAATCCACCCATTCCGTCTGAGTTTTTGTTTCGAAAATCTTTTCCATTTCTGCGCTCATTCCTTCTGGATCCATGTATATATCTGTCACGGTTTTGTCCATTCCCAAGACTGAAATCTTCGAACTCTCTGTTCTATTTGTGCATGAGCTAAATCTAGACATTATATCAAGTTTACTTCTGAATAACGAAACGCTGAATTTCGGTTCCAGAGCTCCAACTGCCATCCATTTCCCATCTTTGGTTTTATAGGCTCTATAAGAAGAAAGTGCAACATCTAATTTTTAGGATAGTTTGCAATATTTTATGCATATTTTGTGAACTAGTAACAGGAAGTTGATTTGTAGAATTCTAGGATAATGGATCAGTAATGTACTAAGTAGAACCAAGTAGCATTAAAATATTTTCAATTAACCCCGGTAAACGATGTCGAGCTACCAGGAATTTGGAAAAAGTGGAATTTGAAGAGGATTTTCAATTCCTTGAAATCTGTGCTAGATTTTAATTTCCTTATGTGTTGCTCTTTCAAGTAATACCTATACACTGGGCAATCGCCAGAAAACGCGGCAAATGGTCGAGTCCACAAATGTTCCATGTCTTGATAACGTCGAACGAACGAGCCTAGATAGGAGACGCCATCGGACATTGAGCAGTCGATAATACATCCGTGTCCACCTACAGTTTCATATCATACAGAAACATATTTATAGTATACATAAAAAGTGAAGAGAAGCGCAAAAATTTAGTTAACGAAACATAAGTTCATAGCGCTAAAACTATAGAGTACGTAGTACTATTCCGAGCACGAAACATTGCAGTTAAGAAACATTCCAATGAGTTTAACGTTTTGTTTTCTGCCTTCTATAATTTTCGTGGCAGGTTACTAAGCGAAATACAACCACAACGTTGCTGAGATATTTGCAAAACGCTGGACCGCAGGTGTCTATGGTGGAGAACGAACGCGCTATTGTCCTTTCCGGNAGAAATAGCTGAGAGACAGGCGAAACGAAGGACCCGCATGGTGTGGTGGTGAACGCGTTACTCCCCGGAAAGGACAATAGCGCGTTCGTTCCCACCATAGACACCTGCGGTCCAGAGTTTTGCAGATATCTCAGCAACGTTGTGGTTGTATTCCAATGAGTATTCAGACATGCAAAAACCATGATGATGATAAGACGTGGGCTTTGTAGCAATAGAATGATTCTTCTTTGTGGGACGCTGTATCCCATGTAATTGTTTATGAGCGGAAATAAGGTGAACGAATGAAGTAGTTTAGTATTTTTCGTTAGCGTGGATTCCTCTTTAATATCATTCTCGGTCGGTCGGTCCATTGACAACAGAAATGGCTGCCGTTCTCAAAAAACTTTAACAGGGTGGAACAAGCATCCACCACCCGACCTATTAGCATCAGTACTTGCCTAGTGGTGACGATCATGAAGCGCTCTAGGACGGTTATTTCATTACTGCAGGGAAAACCACTGCTCGAAAACTTTTCAACACGTAATGAGGAATGCAGAGCGAGGTCCTCAAGCCATACCCGAATCCAGAGATCTCCAGAAATACCGTCTATATGATAACGAAAGGAACAGAAGTGGCTGGAGCCCGCATAAAACTTGAGGTCAGCTATCTAAATATGAGATGCATGGATCTATTCTTATTAAGCAATCTAAATTAACTTTGATATCTTAATTTTCTTTGTATTTTTGTTGAGCAAACGCGAGGTGTTACTATTCTTTGTTCACGATTAAGCTGACGTTTCGGCGAATTTCGCCTTCCTCAGAGCCGCTTCCTATGAGGTTTCCACTAAGTATGTCCAGTATTTGATATCTAAAGTATAGTATAGTATATCTAGTATAAGTATTTGATATCTTAACATTTATAAATAAGGAAATTTCAGGAAAAATGAGGAATTGCAATTTGTGCTATAATTGTTGATCGACGTATTACTAAGTATGCAACTGCAAAGAAGCCGAAACTGGAAGAGACACGTGCACCATACACCAATATGCGGGATTCGATTTTCAACGTAGGAACACTGCTAACACATATCCATTAGAAAAGGGTCAGAAGAAAAATATACAAATGCTACCAAAGAAGTAACAGTCACATGACAGAGACGACATCAGTGCAGCTGGTGACCTCTCAGGGAGCAAAAATGCATCCACCTTCGTACTGCATGCTACCTGTGAATGCATGGTTATATTCAAAGAAGAACTAGCACGGAATATTGGTTTCTGACAGCAAAAGGAGTCTAGTTCAATACAATAACGAAAAGCCGTCGTTGCAATCACTGGAGGGTTTCTTTGAGTTATCAAGAATCGAGAGCCTCGTAGAATTCAAATTTCTAGAATGTCGTCCAAACGAAAGTTAGCCTAGGAAGCATTAGATAACAAAGTAGAAAACATAGGTACCTATAGTTGACAGCTTCGAAGGATAAATAATGCAAACGAAAAGCTAAACAATGCAAGCGCAACCGCAGATGTATTGCAAACGACTATGCGTGAGCATGCTGAAAATACCAACGTGCTCCAATAGCACGATGATGAAACTATCATGCAACAGGGAAGTTAGAGAATCATCAAAAAGACGGGCTAGTCTAACCTCGGTAAAGGATTCATCAACGGTGAAGCCAATGAGCTACAGGTTTTTGATGCTTTAGCGCATGGATAAGTTTTTATTAACTGCGCGATAACCGTTATCAAGAATCAGCCATTCGATTGCGCGATGGGTCAACACCTCAAAAAAAGCGCACTCTCAGTGCTACGGAGCACAGCAGCCATCTCATTTGAGCGGGACAAAGCTGAATCGATGCATGCGAAGTGCCTATGTCTGTTAAGTTGAAGATAGTTCTCACTTTAGGCCACCAACTCCGGTCTCTCAAGGAGTTTAGAAACTATTACGTATACTACAGAGAATACTCTCTATCTCTGTCATAAAGGATATTCTCCAAAAGACGGCGATCCAATCCATACACAACGAAAACCGCATTTGTATAGACTAGCTCGGGCCGTCTTTTCTTCTGTAAGCTTTCTATTCTTATATAATATACTTTCACACATGTATAGTACATGATTGAATATATGTGAGAACTACACGACTTTATCTAATGTAGTTTCGCGCGCAGAAACAGTTCCATCAGACTGTAATAACTGGGAAACTATGAAGCCACAAGAGGAACACCACCCACTCCATAAAGAATATAAACGGCATCAATAACCATCCATACATCCGGTTAGATTACAGACCTCGTATCCTTCTTCCTTGGTTCATATAGTGACTTTCATTTTCTGAGTTGTCCATTCACGGAAGCATATGGATCACTGTGGTCTGTAACCCACACACTATTCCAATGCATGCAAATATTCTTATCCTTATAGAAATTTACATTTGTTGCTTTCGTTGTGTGATGGTTGCCGTTGTAATGCTTAGAAAAGGATTAACTAATCCGATTTGAGATTTTGAATTGCAACACCATTAAAAAGCCGATATGGCTGGCCATAGGAGAAGCACAGCACTACGAACTAGCCAATATAAATATTCAAAACTTGTAACAAAGAGGTTTACACGGAAAGAATTGCTTAACCATTTTTTTCTCGCTTCAGCAGCGCTGCCACAATTCCAAAAGCGGCTGTTAGTCCACCTCCAGCAAAATCAGCCAATAAATTCGCTGGAGGCCAAGGGCGAGAAGTGTTGTGACCAGATATCGTTGGCAGTAAGCCTTCAAAAACTCTAATTTAATCAACTGTAGTCACTCAAGCATTAAGGTCGTTTACCAGTAATTGATACGTAATTGATGTCATGTCCAGCCTCGTGTGCCAACGCACCAGTTTGACCGTATCCAGTTAGACGGCACACCACCAAACCCTTGTTTTCCTAAAAAGAAGTTTTTCGAAAACTGTGGTGAAAAATCCTATTTAATCCAAAACAATTCTGAAATTCATCCAAATGCTTCCGTCAAATACAGAATGAGGTTACGATGCCTTAATTTAAAAAAAAAACTAACCGACATTCGCCTTATATTATAGGTTGGAACCCTCCCCAACAACCATACCTTATTATTTAATGGTTTTTCATGGCGAATTTGCATAGATGTTCTACAACCCTAAGTGCATCACCTCGTATTGTAATGAGATCCTTAACGGAATGCTATTGGAGAGATAGAGTGGAGGAAGCTGACGTTTCGGCGGATTTCGCCTTCTTCAGAGCCGCTTTCTATGAGGTTTCCACTAAGTATGTCACGTAGAGACCAACCGCACAGAAATCACGTGGAAGTATAA